AACACTGATAATAGAACACAAAAGCAGCAACCACTAATCAAGGAAATCATGATAGGACTCACAAGCTCTGGAATATGACGTAAAATAAGATAAAATATGTCAAGTGGTGCTGCAACATGTAAATATATGATTTTTTTTAAATGGTAAAGAAAGAAGCAGCTATTTGCTGTAAAAAGTGTTGATTTGTAAGTGTACTTGTTATTAGATTACAGACTGTCTGTTGTAATCAAAACTTATGTCAAAACAAGAGTGCACACGCTGAATTATCTCGCCTGTTTTACTTATCATTGAATTCAGGTTGAAAGTCTGTCATATGAAGGTTTTATTACAAGAATCACATCAATGTTTTATGAAAATGAGGTCTCGGACAGCTGAACCATGCAAGACAGACATATACACCGTACAATCGTTCCTTTTTGTGTTTCTTTGTTGACAAATTTGTTTGTTTTTATAGTGATTAAGATTATAACACTATGGTGACTGCTGTACCCCTATTTTTGACATTTTTGCCTAATATGTCTGTTTGTTTTGTTCACACATCGTTGTCAATATAATGGAATTTTATGCGACTGTCATACAAGTTAGAGGTTTAGCTAGCTATAAAACCAGATTTAATCCACCATTTTCTACATAAGAAAATGCCTGTACCAAGTCAGGAATATGACAGTTGTTATCCATTCGTTTGATGTGTTTGAGCTTTTGATTTTGCCATTTGATAAGGGACTTTCCGTTTTGAAATTTTCCTCAGAGTTCGATATTTTTGTTATTTTACATTTTTCCATACACCAAATATAGTGGTCCTATTGCTAATCACGTAACTTTAACCTTCATCACTGATCCAGACGAGACAATAAAACCTTATGAAATCCAAAATTCTGACTGACAGGAAAGGATACAGCAGAGCACCCTACCACATACTCGCTAGATGATTTTGAGTGAACAATGTTTTTAATTATGTGCACGAAATATTACGTTGTGTTCTTAATTTTGAGGTTAACAATTGTGAATTGGATTGTCCATTAAATCGTAATAAAGTGCCTATTCAATTATATAAAACATAAATAAGTATTGGTGGTAAATTGAGATAAGAATTAAAGAAGTTTTTGTGGCTAACCCAGCTACATTGTTGGTAAGGCAGATGCCTTTGAATAAATATAACAATAGTATTTGATAAAAAGTGTGGTAATCCACTTTTATATAAATACGCACCTTGTACCTAGAGTTTTTCAATTACTTACACAAGCATAAGATACTGATAAAATACTTTCATAATTATTATCAAACAGCTTAACTTTATATTTTACATTTACACATTAATACATACATAGTAAAATTTTCTAAATTTTGATTTACAAATGAACTACTAAGTATATGCATGCGTATATATAGAAAGTTAAAATGTCACACATCTTCTGTCTAATTTAATTGTCAATTACACGTCAAAAGTTGGTAGTAGATGATTAAAAAGGTGTTAATACTTTCTGCAAGTCATTAAACACATCATTGGTTTATGATATGTCTTCAATTCAGAAATCTACATCTTTTAAAAATCTCACATGAAGGTTGATTCCATTTTGCAGAAAGCCTTAATTTGTAATTCCCAAGAAAAATTTGATGAAAACTTCGTACATGGTCATTATGTGTCAGAATAGATATGACACGGGTTATGTTCTTCTCATAAATTTCATGATGGTATAATACTAAACCCTTAACAGGAGGGATTGTGCCTGATATTCATATGATGAAGACATAATCTTTCAATCAGTTTAATTGAGGTCTGGAGCTGGCATGTCAGTAACTGCTAGTAGTCTGTTGTTATTTATGTATTATTGTCATTTTGTTTATTTTCTTTTGTTTCCTATTCTGACATCGGACTCAGACTTCTCTTAAACTGAGTTATACTGTGCGTACTGTTGTACGTTTGTTTTTCTACATTGGCTAGAGGTATAGGAGGAGGGTTGAGATCTCAAAAAACATGTTTAACCCCGTCGCATTTTTCCGCCTGTCCCAAGTCAGGAGCCTCTGGCCTTTGTTAGTCTTGTATCATTTTTAATTTTAGTTTCTTGTGTATAATTTGGAGTTTAGTATGACGTCCATTATCACTGAACTAGTATACATATTTGTTTAGGGGCCAGCTGAAGGACGCCTCTGGGTGCGGGAGTTTCTCGCTGCATAGAAGACCCATTGGTGGCCTTCGGCTGTTGTCTGCTCTATGGTCGGGTTGTTGTCTCTTTGACACATTCCCCATTTCCATTCTCAATTTTATGTAGTAACAAGAAGTGGACAAGCAATGTATCTGAAAATTCATCACAGTTTTGCATGCTCACATGAAGCTTGATACATTATTTCACGAAGCTCTGATTTGTGGTTTTTGGGGAAAATATAACCAAAATTTTAAACATGGCCATTAGGTGTGAGAATATCTAGGAATTCTAAAAACACGAAGTTGGTTAGTGGTGACTCTGAAAATACACCATACAGTATAGCATACTTGCATGAAGCTTGAAACTAAAGCTTAAGTTCCTGAGAAAAAGTGACCACAAATTTATACATGGCTGTTAATGAAAAAAAACCACCAACATGTTATTGGCAGTCCCAGAACATAGGGGCAGACAAAAGAAAAGATTCAAACCAGTACAAAAAGTTGGCAGATCTCTCATATTTATTCTTATTTATATGTATCATAAAATGCACATCTTTTGCATCATTAAAACTTCTCAAGTATGCTTTTCACAGCTCTATCTACTGTTTAAAAAAACAATAACTTTAAAATAAAGTTTAATAAAAACGTTTATTCATCTTAATCAGATAAATTCAATATTTTTACAAACAAAACATAAATAAAATTATGCATCATTAACAAATATTATATAAACTTCATATAAAATATAATAACAATATTCTTTATAATTGTTCAAATATAAATTTATTGTGCAGGATATAAGCTAATTGGTAAATTCTGCAAATGATGCCATGTACAATTTTCAAATATCTTCACATTTAAACAAAGTTCAAATATGGCAACTATTGAAATCCAATTGTTAGAAAAATTAAAAAGATGTGGTATGATTGCCAATATGTTAACTATTGATCAAAATTCCATATATGTTACCAATGAAACATAGTTTAAATATGTTAACTATTGAACTCCAAATATGTTAACTATTGACCAAAATTACGTACATGTAACCAATGGAACAAAGTTCAAATATGTTACCAATGGATTTGGATAGTGAATTAGAATGTCTTTTGTGTTATTTATTTTAAAATTTTTTCACTTTCTCTGATTTATAGTATACGATGCTGTGTTCTTTACTCAGTATCATTTTATTACACAAGCATGCTCATAAGGTGTTATATGGATGGCAAGAGCAACGTTTGCTTGCAAACATAGATAGTAATGTTCATTTAACTTTGTCCAGGGAAAAAGTAGCCTATTTTTAGTATGCCTGCCTAATGTCACTAATATTCTTTAGAGTTCTGTAAAATGCATTCATCAATGTTAGCTAAACACTTTGGTCTAACTAAAGCAGGATTGCAGAAGTTTCCTATTTGCTTCTAAATCTAAAAGTGCAATTCTTAAATCGCTTATAAAATATAATTAAACAGAATTATTAATTTTGCACCACTGGTTTTGTCATGATGCTCAATTTTGTCTGTTAGTCCTTTACATAATGTTACAAACATTAGATCATCTAATGTTATTATCAGATTGCAATGAGACATGATAAATTTGTGTCACCAGTCCCAGCTTTGCACACTAGAAGTTTGTGCTATTAGTGTGATTTTAGCAAGACTTTAACAAACGTCTCTAACAGTATACATGCTCATTTTCATAAAAGCTTCAGACAAAGGAAATTTAAAAAGTTTTTATTTTTATTCATCATTTACAAACGTGTAACAGTTTCCCTATGATATTTGCATATTTAGGGTATATTCTAACACACTTTCACTTCTTTCTTTCTCAAAAGTTTATTAAAAAAAAAATAAACAAATAATTTTGGACTTCTTTTACTTTAGGGGTCCAAACCTTTAAAAAGCTATACTAAACTGTCCCTAACACTAACCCTTACCCTTACCCAAAATATACTGTCAACTAAACCCTAACCCTTTAGGACAGGGACCCCTAAAGTAAATGAAGGTCATGATTGCTTCATTTTTTTTGGTTTCTAAAGTTTAAAATATAAGTTATAAACAGTGTCAGTAAATATTCATAACAAATGGTAATTTCTATATCAGAAGATCATTGTTTGAATACAATTGGAAGACTGGTAAAATCTGCAACAAATGGTAACTTTTATATCAGAAGATCGTTGTTTGAATAAAAATGGAAGACTGGTAAAATCTGAGATCACAAGACTCCTTATAAAAATGTCTTAACTAAATATTTAGACATCTAGCTTTAGAATACAAATTGCAATAGTTCATTTGTATCATGTATCAACCCCATGAAATTAAATCATCATTTTGTGGTTAAATTGGAAGACTCAAGGAATGGAAACCACTATAGTGGAATGGAAACAACTATAGTGGAATGTAAACCACTATAGTGGAATTTAAACCACTATAGTGGAATTTAAACCACTATAGTGGAATGTAAACCACTATAGTGGAATGGAAACCACTATAGTGGAATGTAAACCACTATAGTGGAATGTAAACCACTATAGTTGAACGGAAATAACTATAGTGGAATGTAAACCACTATAGTGGAATGGAAACCACTATAGTGGAATGTAAACAACTATAGTTGAATGGAAACAACTATAGTGGAATGTAAACCACTATAGTGGAATGTAAACCACTATAGTGGAATGTAAACCACTATAGTGGAATGTAAACCACTTTAGTGGAATGTAAACCACTATAGTGGAATGGAAACTATAGTGGAATGTAAACCACTATAGTGGAATGTAAACCACTATAGTGGAATGGAAACCACTATAGTGGAATCGAAACCACTATAGTGGAATATAAACAACTATAGTGGAATGTTAACCACTATAGTGGAATGGAAACTATAGTGGAATGGAAACCACTATAGTGGAATGGAAACCACTATAGTGGAATGTAAACCACTATAGTGGAATGTAAACAACTATTATAGTGGAATGTAAACCACTATAGTGGAATGTAAACAACTATTATAGTGGAATGTAAACCACTATAGTGGAATGTAAACAACTATTATAGTGGAAAGTAAACCACTATAGTGGAATGTAAACCACTATAGTGGAATGTAAACCACTATAGTGGAATGTAAACAACTATTATAGTGGAATGTAAACCACTATAGTGGAATGGAAACAACTATAGTGGAATGTAAACCACTATAGTGGAATGTAAACCACTATAGTGGAATGTAAACCACTATAGTGGAATGGAAACAACTATAGTGGAATGGAAACCACTATAGTGGAATGGAAACAACTATAGTGGAATGTAAACCACTATAGTGGAATGTAAATTTCAAGCAATGGTCACTTTTAATAAAACCTTGTAAATATATAATAAAGGTGAATAGGACACATGTATGTATTCAACATCTCTCAATAAATCGTGAATTATTAAAGAAAGATGCCATGTTCATAACAGTCTTTCTAAGATAAGAGCAAGTAGATGTGTTGGTACTGTTAAAGTATACAATGAGATTCAGTCTTTAATCATCAATCATAATTTCTACAAAATTTTACAAGAAAGTTATATGTCTGACAAATTCTAATTACCATAAAACATAAATTCAGCAAAATTTGGTAAACCTGAACAAAATTCAAATTTGAGCAGTTGAAAGTCATCATTATTTAGTAATATCCTAAAGGCCAGAACATGTATAAAAGCATTGACATGGGTTAACCTTGATGTCTGAAGTGGTCCTACAACATATAGATAATGCACAAGAAACAGAAAATTTATTTAGCACAGATTTGTATGTACTGTAAATTTAGAAATTAATGCAATGTTTTTTTTAATTATTTTAATGAAAAAAATGCGAAAGTATCAGGATCGTAATAATAAAATCTTGCAATCATAATTTCAGTAGTGATTTCCCTTCAAAAAATGTTTGCATTCGCATTAATCATGTCTTATTTTGAACAGAAATTAGTGATTCACTATAATAAAAGCAAGCATTTATTTATGAATTTACAGTATTACAATTATCACCATCATATTATGCAAACCTTGTCAAGTAAAGCACCATTGGTTAATCAAACCAAACGTTCAGTGTAACAGAGCATCTAGAGATATACATGTATGGCATTATGACCCATCATATCATTGCAAAATTAAAGTTTAAAAAATTGTGACAGTCTTGAACAAGAATATCAGCATGAAATGAAGCACTGTTTTCAAAGCCATGATAAAATCTGCAATGAAATTGTCTATTACATGTAAAATCTAATCTTGTAGAAACATCAGGTTTTGGAAGACCTTATGCAAATAGCATGACCAACCTGTATCATACAGAGTCAACATGCAATGAGATATCATTGTTTGCAAAAAGTGTGATGACAGAATGTATATGTAATGGATATTTACAATTGCTCTATGAAAATTGACCTTCAAAATGTAATTCATGTCACTTCGTTATTATATACATTTTTGAAGATAAACATTTGAAATGGTAGAAAAGCAAATGTGAGATTAGCTTTCTAATAGATTATAAACCAAAATCATTTTATTCCACCCATGTTGACTCAATGATACTCATCGGTAATATATATATATATATATAGAACAATGTGTTTCATGTACTGTACATAGAATTGCACAATAAAAGAACACAAGCCAAAGTCACATCATTATAAATTATTATGATAACAAGTTAATATATGGTAGTATGTAAAAATATGAAAATAAATTATAAAGCAAACGTTACGGCCAGCACTATCATTACGCTAACATTAGTATCACATTTACTCCAGCCAGCGATTTTTCAAGTTCAAAAATTTATCCACTCTATTATGACTCAGATTTTCACTTACATAAACAACTTCATATAACCTGCTGTCAGCATTCTAAAACTTTAATTTACAATACTGGTACAACATCTTTCTAGCAATTTTTTTCAGCTATATTCAGGCAATTTCACAAATCACCTAAATCTTTCTTTCACAAATTCACTGTTATCACTTTTGACAATTTTCACCTATTATCCACAATCCAATTTTCATTACGTACACTAAAATTTGAAAATAAAGCTTTGAAAATCGCAAACTTTTTTGGCATTTTCTTCCTTTTTCAAAATCCTATAAAGCTGTTAATAAAGTCTGAAATTTATTTGGCATGAAAGACAAACTCTTTACATTCTTTTGAATTTCTCCCAAATTTAAAGCACTCAGAAGATTGAGTATTACTGCTCTTCCACACTGATGGGAATAGACTCAACAAGAACACAGTTATTGTGTTCTTTTACTAGTCTCTTCAACCTTGTTGAATGGATATCAGTTTATATTGCACAGATCCTTTTGGAAAGTCCTTGTCATGATAAAAATCCATCTGGATGCTGAATAAGAAAAATGTAACATGAGAAATGATATTTTCCATGCCAAAACATTAATTACTGTTTCATTAGATAAACACAAAAGGTGGGCTTTTCAATTTAGCAGTATGATCCATGTTGAAGGTGGTGCTTGATATAAATCAACAATCAATAAAACAACACTTTATCAATTTGATGCGTCCGAAGCGCTTTTCTGGATTTACCTTTATCAGGAACGCTCAAAGCCGAATATTTGAAAGCCAAGGATGTATACGAACCGAAACTGTTGAAGAGCTTTATGATCAAAATGGACCTTAAAAAAAAACCAAATCCATCTAAGGTCAACTTTGCCTGAGGGTGTTGAAACCTTAGTTTCTTCATAATTTCAAAATTTATTTACGGACAATTTTAGAAAGGTTTGTTATAAATCATGTCAGTGCCAAAAAAACTGACTACTGAGCTATTGATACCCTCCGGGACTGTTAGTCCTCCAGCAGAGGTATTTACCCAGTGCTGGTAAAAATAAAAACAACACTACTTAAATTTCATGCGTCCGAAGCACTATTTCTGGATTTACCTTCATCATGAACACTATGCTGTGCAGAATGTATAAATACAGTGTAATCTTATGAGGCCATGGCATTTAAGGGACCCTATTGTCGTTTATATATTATTTATATGAATAGTACATTGTACACTGAAAATCCCATTTAATTTAATCATCATGCGTGAATTCAATTTCCTTATTATATATATTAATTTCATTCTGACACCAAAGAATGTCTATTTCCTTACATAATCAAAATATCAACATAACATGACATTACTAAATCAAATGCTGAAAATGCAAATTGTTCCTTATTCAATGAATGTCCTGTCACATTTTTTCCATTAATCATAACATTAAAATAACTTTTAGATTTTACATTTTATGGTTTTTACTATATTTAATTTTGGCTTCGTACACTACCTTAGCTTTCAACAAGGCTGCCATCCAATTAATCAACTCATTCTCTGTTGTACAACAAATAGTCCTACCAAACAACGGCATATCTCCTTTCCTGAAAAATACATCAAGAATTGAACTGTTAATAATCTCTATATCCAACAGGCAATTTCAATATACAATAATAAAATAAACAAGAATATGTGTCCATAGACCATACCTGGCTTGCTCTTTATTTATAATTTGGCATATAATTTGAAAAGATCACATCATAATGAAATTGTGTACTAAGTTTCAAGTTGATGTAACAACAACCTGACGGTGAACTATTTTAACCAAAAACTTTAACCCGAGAATGTACCGATTTCACAATATCACTTTTCCATTCTCACTGAACAATGAAATTCAGATTAAATGGATAATTTGGCAAATAATCTGAGAAAATTACATCATAGTTGATGTGACCAATGGTAAAATACTTTAACAAAAGACAAAAATAATCCTAAGATATCAAGAGGGCAGTTTAAGGATGTTCGCTCCTCTTGTTTATGAATGTTTGCCAGATATTCAGAATTTTCTGATTTTACCCATGCAGTGCCATTAAAAAATATTGCCTGCTAACCCGCACTTTTCATAATTATATTACATATTGTTTAAAAAGCCATATTTGAAAATCTTAAAAAATCCTTATTATTTTTTCATAGTTTTAGAAAGAAAACAGGTGCCAATGTTAAATGTATGAAAAATCTAGAGACCAATTTTTGATGGCTTATATCTTGAAAACAAGCGCATAGACCCTTCATTTTTTTCTGCTTTTTTAGTTCCTTTATTCATATACTATCAATTTATAATAGACTTTTAAAAAGCTTGTTATTTTGAAACAGAGTAGCAAACATCCTTAAGCTCAACAAAAAAGAAAATTAATGAATCTGAAAACATATAACACTGTAAAGCATGTTCACATGAAGCCTGTTATCAAATTATTTCAGGAAGAAAAATATGACTAAAAATTTCATACATGGCCAGTATGTGTAAGAAAAAAATATATCGTAAGTATTTGGTGAACAGGAAGTTGATGACCGATGAATCTTAAACCATGTCAACTCATAAAATTTCAGAAAAATATTTGTTCAATGGACAGATAGGAAGATGAACAATGGCTATATCATAAAAAGACCAAGAAAAATACTTTTGTTATTTAATACTTACCCAATTCTTTCTCCTTTAATAAAGAAGGAAAAGGCAAACCTATACAAGAAAAGAAAATTAATATTTACAGACCTCTTTGACCTATATGGTTTCTGGCACTAGTATTCACTTTAATATTTTGTAAAATTGTGCTTAATGATGGACATATGCCATGAACATGCTGAAAATTCCAAATCTGTTGCTAACCATACAAATCAAAATGCTTTCCTGTCTAGTTTAAGATTATAACATCAATTAAGTTTCGTCTGTCAGAGAACTGACATAGCTTGCTATGCAGTATGGGTTTAGCTCATGATTGAAGGCCGTACAGTGACCTATATAGTTGATAATATCTACTTCATTTGGTCTCTAGTAGGCAATCATACCACATCTCCTTATTTTATATTAACAGACCTATAATAATTTTTAACTTTTAGCTGTCATTACAAACTTGTTCTTCAAAGAATCTTAGAAAAAAGGGAAAACCCAATATTCTGCGATTTCTGATCTTATCATTTTTTTTTTTATCTCAGAGAAAAACCAAAGTCACAAAATAGAACTATAACACAAATAAACTAGAGGCTCTCAAGAGCCTGTGTCGCTCACCTGTATTTACTGATGCTTTGGAAATCATGTAAAATAAGGTTAAAATCATAATTAATAGTATTAGATATTAGATATTATAATGATATCTAAGATAATAACAAAAAACTGCAAAATTTTTGTAAAATTACTAACTCAGGGGCAGCAACTCAACAACGGGTTGTCGGATTTGTCTGAAAATTTCAGGGCAGAAAAATCTAAATCTGATGAACATTTTTGCCACCTGTCAGATTTGCTCTAAATGCTTTAGTTTCAGAGATATAAACCAAAAACTGCATTTTACCCCTTTGTTCTATTTTAGTCGGCCATGATGGTTGGAAGGAGGGGTCATCGGACAAATTTTTTAAACTAGATACCCTAATAATAATTATGGCCAAGTATGGTTAAATTTGTCTCAGTAGTTTCAGAGAAGAAGATTTTTGTAAAAGATTACAAAAATTTACAAAACATTGTTAAAAATTGACTATTAAGGGCAATAACTCCTAAAGGGGTCGACTGACAATTTTGGTCATGACAACTTATTTGTAGATCTTACTTTGCTGAACATTATTGTTGTTTACAGTTTATATTTATCTATAATAATATTCAAGATAATAACCAAAAACTGCAAAATTTCCTTAAAATTACCAATTCAGGGGCAGCAACCCAACAACAGGTTGTCAGATTTGTCTGAAAATTTCAGGGCAGATAGATCTTGACCTGATAATCAGTTTTACCCTATGTCAGATTTACTCTAAATGCTTTGGTTTCAGAGATATAAGCCAAAATCTACATTTTACCCCTATGTTCTATTTTTAGCCATGGCGGCCATCTTGGTTGGTTGGCGAGGTCATCGGACACATTTTTCAAACTAGATACCCTAATGATGATTGTGGCCAAGTTTGGTTAAATTTGGCCCAGTGGTTTCAGATGAGAAGATTTTTGTAAAAAGCTAACGACGACGACGACGGACGACGGACGCCAAGTGATGAGAAAAGCTCACTTGGCCATTCGGGCCAGGTGAGCTAAAAAGATATAAAAAAGATATGTCTATTTTTCTTAAATTTTCCTTCCATCTTCCTGAGCAATAAATTTACATCTCTAAGCTACTCCACTGTGATTTAGAGAGTAGAGTGAGAAAGCAAAGAGTCATGAGCTAAAAATCATTGACAATGCATAGAAAAATAGCAATAGCAAGTCTTTCAAACTTGATGAAGATTCTCTGCTCAGGGCTATTGCCCTTCAATGGGATTGTAGCTGAAAAAATTATTATCATTTTCAAAACCATGGACAATCTATCAGTATAAGTATATTGCAATAATTATAAATAACCATTTATGTCAGAACTGGACTCTAAAGTGAAAAAAAACCTTCTCCACAGTTCTGAGTTTCAGGTTATTTAAATGATGTAATATAATCAAATACTGCAGATTCATTTATTTTTATGGGTACCAATTTTCCTACAGTGAGGAATATTTTCATAGATATTTTTTAGCCAAAGACTGCATACAAAATATCCAGGAAAATGAAAGTTATCCTGAATCCACAAAAATAAATGAATCCACAAAAATAAATGAATCCACAGTATTATATTGTTTCGTACACTCTACAGGTATTCTATTTTAATGGATACTGATTTCCAATCACCTAATAATACTACTACTGCACCAATTAAATTAATTCCTCACAGTTATGAGTTATAAATTATCTTAACATACTCTAGTTATGTAGCCACCTATTATTAGACTCCACATGATTGGGTAAAATTTGTTAAGTAATACAAAAACCACACATGATCAGGTGAATTAATAAAGTAATATAATAACCACTCATTATCATGGCTAAATTTATACATTTAATCATTAATACAATTTAAGAAAAAAAGACACTCAATATCATAATGTATTGTTAAAAGACAACATCCAAAAGTATTGTTAAAAGACAAAATCATTTTTTTTAACATACTGTATCTCGGGTAATTTTCATGTGAGATTTTGTTTGCAATTTAATCGTGCCATATTTTGGGCAGTTTAATCGGTGCTGTATTCATCATTAAAGTTTCATAACCAAACACAATGAATTTACATGAAAAGCTAACTTTTTGTGTATGTTTTGATTTTGCTGTAAAATGTCTTTCGAGAAAATTAGACACACACAAACACATGCTAAAATTTCTGAATATACAGTACATGTATTTCAAATAAAACTGTATTTTTTTCTGAAAGTTGTTTATCAACTTGAAATATCTGTTAAAAAATTGACCAAAAATAAATTTGAAAAAAGATAATTTTTACCAATAATTTTTTCTGCTGCATCTAAATATCATTAAGGTCAAAGTTGAGTTTTTCTTTGTTTGCATCAACTTAATAAGGTTTAGATGGTCTTAGGCCAAAAACAAATAGAGAAATTATTTCCGTAAACCTTTTAATAAAACTTTCAGTAAACCTTTTAAAAATTAAGAAATAAGAACTTTTTACAGACATTTAAACTCAACTCATATATGTCCTAAATAATTTGTTTTATACTATGTTTATGAAGGTAAAATTACAGAACAATAATAAATTTCAAATAGAAAATAGTTTCAAAAAGGTTTTACATGTTTAGTTTAATTTTTTCTTTCTAGCTATTACTAAGTGGTAGAGTTTGAAAATTTTGCTAGTTGCAAAAGAAATGAAGAAAAAAACAAGCATGGCCTAATTAACTACAAAACATGAATGTTTCTGTTGAAATGAATATTAAGATCACAGCATATCATTATATATAAAAACTGCACATGGATATACTCATGATTTCTAGTGTAACTGAAAATCCCTCCTTATATGTAAGCATAAACCCTTTTTATAGTAATGGGTTAGGCATTTTCTGTCACAAAGGTTTCTTTATCTTTCATACAAATGCAAAAGTACCAATTTTCTTGAATTGAGACAAAAATATATTTCCGTGGATATTTGATTTCATGGTATTGCCAAGTCTGCATGTAAGCGTCAAGAGAATTTGTACTTGAACATTTAAATTCATGGTTGACCTGTACCCAGGAAATCCACGAAATATTGTTACTGCATAAATAATAAAGGATCTACGGTAAGGCAAACTGACTGAAAAAAGAGAAGATACCAATCAAAAATTGTAAGTCCATTAAAAACAGCCAACACCTTGGCAGAAGTTATTTCTAAACTAATTTTCATGAAACTTTAACAATTTATTTGCACATTACAGTACTAATTTAAGATTTTAAAAGGTTTGTATGAACGAACAAATATAACATTCAGATCCATTGTCTACATTTTGCTAACAAAGATCTGATAATGTTCCTTAATACTTTCTGTTTTAAGACCTTTCAGGATCCTCTGGTTTTTTCCTAATGATACACACCTTCACAAATGTGGAGAATGCAATTTCATTGGCTGATGTAATAGTTACCAGAACAGAGAGTAAAATGGATTGTTGTCAGATCTTTGTAAACAAAGCCAGGAAACAGGATGTGTATTTTAATCTTAATGTGAACATCCAATATGGGAAAGACTTTTGATCCTAAAGACATTACGAAAGAAACCATGAGATATATTCACTAATCTAACAAGCATATTAGTACAAATACTCACTGTAGATTTTGGGGTTTAGAGAGTCTAGTATGCAGAAAAGGAAAAGAAAATATATTTATACATAATATAGATGAATATATCATCCTTTGTCTTAAATTCTTGTCACTTGTCAATCTGAATCTTACCAACAGCTATTTAATAAAATGCTCCGCAGGGCGCAGCTTGATACGACCGCAGAGGTCGAACCCTGAACAGTTGGGGCAAGTATGGACACAATATTCAAGCTTGATACAGCTCTGAATTTGGATTGTGATTAAATATTTGACACAGCATAGGTTTCTGACACAGAATGAATGTGGTCTAAGAACTTAAAAATTTTAAATTGGACATTCACCTATTATGGTCCAATATCCAAAATCTAAATACATGGTTAGATTCAGCATATCAAAGAACCCCAAGAATTCAATTTTTGATGAAATCAAACAAAGTTTAATTTTGGACCCTTTTGACCTCAATGTGGACAAAGTTGATAACGGGGCCCAAAAATCAAAAATCTAAATACATGGTTAGATTCAGCATATCAAAGAACCCCATATATTCAATTTTTGTTGAAATCAAACAAAGTTTAATTTTGGACCCCGATTTGGACCAACTTGAAAACTGGGCCCGTAATCAAAAATCTAAATACATGTTTAGATTCAGCATATCAAAGAACCCTAAGAATTCAATTTTTGTTAAAATCAAACTTAGTTTAATTTTGGACCCTTTGGACCTTAATGTAGACCAATTTGAAAACGGAACCAAAAATTAAGAATCTAAATACACGGTTAGATTCGGCATATCAAAGAACCCCAATAATTCAATTTTTGATGAAATCAAACAAAGTTTAATTTTGGACCCTTTGGACCTCAATGTGGACCAATTTAAAAACGGGGCCCAAAATCTTAATACACGGTTAGATTCAGCATATTAAAGAACCCCAAGAATTCAAGAATAAAACCCCATTGAAATTGGTCAAGAAATAAGCAATTTATATGAAGTATCTTCTTTTGCACAATACTGTGCAATTGAATATTTCTTGCTATTGCGCAATACTGCACAATTGACAATTTCTTGCTATTGCGCAATATTGTGCTATTGGATATTTCTTGCTATTGCGCAATACTGTGCAATTGAAGATTTCTTGCTATTGCGCAATACTGTGCAATTGAAGATTTCTTGCTATTGTGCAATACTGTGCAATTGAAAATTTCTTGCTATTGCACAATACTTATTATATAATAATTTACACATCCTGTTTGGTGTGTATCTCCTACCATATCATTATTATTTGCTTTTAAATATAAATCAGAAATAACCAACTTAAAATGGAAATTTTTAAAAGAAAAAAAAAATGAAAACCCCCCCCCCCCCCAAATTTTTTGAACCCCCTTATGATTCATCACCCCCAAACTCAATCCCAGCCTTCCCTTTGTGGTATGGTACCTTGCAGTACAATTTCAGAGAGATCCATACACTTGAACACAAGTTATTGTCTGGAAACTAGAAAAATGTGTTTTTTGGCCCCTTTTTGGCCCCCCATTCCTAAACGTTTCGGGCAATTACCCCCAAACTCAATTCCAGATTTCCCTTTGTGATATGGAACCTTGCAGTACAATTTCAGAAATATCCAAACACTTACACACAAGTTATTGTCATGAAACTAGAAAAATGTTTGTTTTTTGCCCCTTTTTTTGCCCCTAATTCCTAAAATTTTGAGGCAATTACCCCCAAAATCAATCCCAGCATTCCCTGTGTGATATGGAACCTTGTGGTACAATTTCAGAGAGATCCATACACTTGAACACAAGTTATTGTCTAGAAACTAGAAAAATGCTTATTTTTGGCCCCTTATTCCTAAACGTTTCGGGCAATTACCCCCAAACTCAATTCCAGCTTTGCCTTTGTGATATGGAACCTTGTAGTACAATTTCAGAAAGATCCATTCACTTACACACAAGTTATTGTCATGAAACTAGAAAAATGCTTGTTTTTTGCCCCTTTTTTGGCCCCGAATTCCTAATATTTTGAGGCAATTACCCCCAAAATCAATCCCAGCATTCCCTTTGTGATATGCAACCTTGTGGTACAATGTCAGAGAGATCCATACACTAACACACAAGTTATGTCTGGAAGTTACAAAAATGCTTATATTTGGCCCCTTTTTGGCCCCTAATTCCTTAACTGATGGTACCATAACCCCCAAAATCAATCCCAACCTTCCTTTTGTGGTATTGAACCTTATGGTAAAATTTCATAGAGATCCATTCACTTAAACTAAAGTTAGAGTGCGAAAACCAATGTGTCTTCAGACGACGACGACGACGACAACGACGACGCCAACGTCATACCAATATACGACCGCAAAAATTTTTGCGGTCGTATAAAAAGTTGATAAGTACAGAAACCAAAATCACTTGGGTGGAACTCATTGTTTCCCGAGACTTTATTACAGATTTACAGGAGTCCACCTTTGGTAAATTGACTTCAACACCTGATACTGTAAATTCAGAAATTACTGCGAAACAAGATAGGTATTGCAAAAATGAAAACTTTGATAGCATTATTTATATGCATCATTTTCTGAAATAGCAATTATTAATCTCACGTATTTGAAGGGGGCCTCGGTGGACGAGTGGTCTAAGTAGTCCAACTACTGTATCACAAGCCAGTCAACACTGAGGTTGTGAGTTCCAATCCTGCATGGGGCAGGTGCACTCGACTCCAATCTTACATGTCTTAATTGACTAGGATTGTCAGTTTTCCTACCGAAGGACTGGTTCCCTCCGGGCACTCCGGCTTCCTCCACCAATAAAAACAGACCGCCACGAAATAGCAAAATAGTGTTGAAAGTGGCAGTAAACACAAATCAATCAATCAATCAATCAATCTCATCTATTTGTCTGTTGTTCAACTATCTCAATAATAATTTCTGAATTTACAGCAAAAATTTCAAAAAGCTTTTTATAAAATTAAAAATTGACATCTTGCCAGAAAAGTGGTCACTTTTATATATTATAAATGGGTTTTCTTATTTTACCAAATGAATAAAAATAATGCCATTATTAGTATCCTGAAATATAAAAAAAAAGCAGAAAAAAAACATAGAGTTAAGGTAAAATTGTCTACAAGTCTATAACTTTTATTTAAATACTAATGTTTTAAGTAATGATGTACAGTGAAACTTGTCTAAACCAAACTCTCTTCTAATTAGACAGGTGTATAAACTCTCTTCTAATTAGACAGGTGTATAAACTCTCTTCTAATTAGACAGGTGTATAAACTATCTTCTAATTAGACAGGTGTATAAATATAGATTCTTACATTGATACCAGTGGATTATCGGATTTATCCAATCGAGATAGTTAAATTATCAATTTTAAAGTCTGAGCCTTGGCGAGGACTTTAGAATTTATAATTTAACTATCAAGATTGGATAAATCCGATAATTCACGAGTAACTATGTAAGAATCTGTTTCTCTAATGATTAAAAAATACATTTCCATTTTTTGTTAAACCAAAACCCCCTTCGAGTGCCTTCCACATTTCACAAAGTTGTCAATTTCATTAACACCTGTTAGCATATTTTGAGCTGATAAAGGTTATGACCCTTAAATTCATCCAATCATCTTCTGAGATCACCGGCAACCACACGTTGATTAAATTTTTTTATACAATGAGTGCAGAAAGGTATAAATTGTCAAAGAATTAGAGAAACTCTCTTCTAATTAGACAGGTGTATATCTACATGAGTTAATTCCTTCTGTTGGTTGATAAGGTCGAGCGTTTTAATTTTTGTCCGGTTTTATAGACTTCCTCCAGTTTTAATTTCAATTGGAATTCGGTATTTTTGTTAATACTTTTTCACTAAAGAATGTTCATGCATATATGTACCATACAACAGTTCATTCTGCACAAGTTTCAAGTTTAAACAGTTTTCACTGTAAGATGCTTGAAGAGTATTTGATGAAAAATGAAGGTTCTATCCTGCATGAAAAATTAATAATGAAAACCTCCATAAAAAAATGGTCAGCTATTCAACTTTTCTGATTATTGAAGGTTTTGATGAGATATTGATGGGTATTATGTTTTTGACCCTTTCTAAGTCTGTCCGCCCGTTATCCCGTTGTTGTCACCATGATAATACATTAAGGAAGTTCGCTACTCAGTTTCAAAATAACAAGCTTTTCATAACACTAGTGTATATTGATAGGGGATAAATAAAGGAACCAAAGGAGCAAACAAAATATATAGGTCAATGTGCTTGTTTTCGAGATATTAGCCATTGAAATTTTGGCGGGAAAATGTTTTCTCTTGACTTTTCATAGCTTTATCATTGACAAGTTAAAGCTCTCAAAAACTATTAAAAAATAACAAAGATTTTGTAAGACTTTTACAGATGGCTTATAATTATACATGTAAAAGATTTATAAAAAGAAAAATGGGGGTCAATGGGCAAAAAAATTAATGCATTCGAATGGATAAAACCAGAGGATTCCGAAAATCTGACAAAAATTCCAAAATATGACAAGCGAACATCCTTAATTTTAAATTGTATTCTCTTCAAATTTGGATGGAGGTTTCCACAACCATGGATGAGATCAATAATCAGAAAATCTGAAATTGGGGACCATTTTTTTGGGGTATATATATTTAAAACAGTCTGATTGAAATACAGATCCTGGGTCAACGCTTAGCTTATATGATCTGACAACACTACTTTTTACTTTCTGTTTAAAAGACCTTTTGGGATCCTATATATGGTTTTGTTGTAATGATACACACCTTCAATAATTTGAAGGCTGACCTTTCATTGGCTGATGTAATAATTACAAGAACAGAAAGTAGAACTGAGTGTTGTTACATCCTTGTAAGCGAAGCCTGGAAACACGATCTGTATTTTAATCAAGATTGTATTTTATATTGATTCTAGTCCCCTGGTCAGCACCTTCTGTTTTAAATCAGATCTTTTTCATATTTTCGTGAAAGTTTTCAGGCATCATTCTGAAACAACATACAAATGTATACTAAAAAACAAATCAAACCAAATAATTAAAAGCTACATGATCTAGTGTTACAGCTTGCCAAAATATAAAAGCTATCAATGAAAGTAAATACAAACAGGACGCATGTCACTGATATAATTGACCTACTTTTGAGCATTTTTCTTGGGATCAGCACCAAAGTAAATAAGCATATCTTCTATTTTCCAGGATTTTGATGGCTGTGTATTGTACTGTAATAAAACAAATAGCAATTATTAATATATGTACAAGTCACAGTTTGATGGCATGTTATTAATTATCCAAATATCAGTGAGATTATTCCAACATTGTTACTGTGACACTAGTGACACCAAATTTTGAATAACTCAAGGCAATACAAAATTTCATGGAATGTCAAATTCAGAGATATTGCAACTGCAGAAAAGTGGATGATTGTAGCTACAGTAAATCTGTGATCATAACTTAATTTCAAATGAACTAAATACAGTTTACTTCCTTCAGAATAATATTTCTTTTTCCAACTGTCCACAGTTACAGAGAAAGGACAAATTGTGTCTGTAATGGGCTGGGGCCTATAATTCAATGATTTTCGTTACAAGCTGTTTGCTATTTTGGTTTTTTTTTGTTAATTGTTTCAGAATAAGGTGGGCGGTTGGTTTTCTCTTTTGGGTTGGATTTTCAGTGGAAATCCATAATTCAGAAGTTATTGCGTGCATTTATTATTGCAATTTTTGAAGAATGGACAAAAATGCAAGATTATTTATTGTGATTTAAGGAAAATCTGCATACAGATATATATAACAGATTTCAGAATGCAAATTCTTATTACTGCGATACTCTCCTAGTCGCATTATTCACATTAATAAAAATCTCGCAATAATTTCTGAATTTACAGTACCTTTGAAGATACACAGTTCTATTAATGAAAATAAAGAACTTACCCCTAAATCCTTGAACAGTGACAGTTTTGATTGGTTAAATCCAAAAGAAAACTTCTTAAATTTCTCTTTCTTTTCTTTATATTTGAACTCTGCAAACAGTGCATGGTTTGGATCATACTGAAATACAATAAATCTTGCATAAAGATTTGATTTGATTTTTTGGTGTTTTAACGCCACTTTTAAGCACCGCTTTTGGGCTATTTCGTGGCGGCCAGTTTTTATTGGTGGATGAAGCTGGAGTGCCCGGAGAAAACCACTGACCTTCAATAGGAAAACTGACAATCCTAGTCAATTAAGATTGGAGTCGAGTGGAGCGGGGTTCGAACTCACAACCTCAGTGTTGACTGGCTAGTGATTACAGTAGTAACTACTTAGACCACTCGGCCACCGAGGCCCTCTCTTACATAAAGAGACATTGGACAATACATTTTCTCTAATTCGTAGCAGATTCAAACTTTTCCCAACCAGTTTTTTTTCTTCATATAAATCAATATGTTATTTCACTTGCTCTCAGTTCTGCATTGGTCAAGAGTTTAATACTGTCCTCTGAATTTCCTATTGTAATGTTGAAAAGAAAAAAAAACATACCTGGTAACACCTCTCAGACAGGATACATCTTTTTGGACTATCATTTAAAAAACATAAAAAAAATTATGGTTTGCCTACATACCGTCTAAAATGATTAGACAAACAAATTCAACCACCTTATTTTTATGTGATACAATATTTCCTCATTCTCAAAAGTTAAATTTAAAACACTGCTTATAAAATGAGGGATCAAGTATCACAAATCATGAACTTTTTTGTACAAAGGGTGAGAAATAAGTGCAAAGAGGTTTATGCCTGCCACATACACATGTGCTTGTCTAACTTACCACCTCGTCAAGCTGTAACAATCTCTCAGCAGATTTCATCACCAGATGAGTGTTTTTTCTATACTCCTCTTCCCAATTACTCCAAGACATTACAACATCTAACAGACACTCACTTGGATGTAATGGCCTTTCTATAGTTAGAAAAATAAAGCTCACATAGAATGACAAGCTTTCAAAATTTGTTATCAACAGTGAATTAATGAAAATGGACTCTAAAAAGGGGGAGGTTGAGATCTCAAAAAAATGTTTAACCACATCAATTTTTGATTTGCCTGTCCAAAGTCAGGAACCTTGTCAGCAGTTGTAAGTCATATCTTAATGTTTTCCATTACTTGGATAATTGGGTTTTAATGGCCGATCTTTGATTGTTTCTATTAAATTTATTCACATTTTTTATAGACTGGACACGATTTAAAGCTTTTCATATCGTGTATACACCTGTCTATTGTCAAAGACTGTATGTTGCCCTCTGGAAGTCCTTTGGTTATCTTTATTGACATACACCACACATCTCCTTTTATTCATACATGTGTATAATTTACTGTACATAATTTTTTTCCATTGAAAATAAGTTACAAACAATGCCAAAACATTGCTTACAGTACTAGATGGATGACACCTTCAAGTACAATCTATCATCCATTGATTTGACCAGCTATTTACCTAAAACATCAGAATACACAACCTCATACAAGACCCACTGTCCAAGTGATAGACGGAACTTTCTCTTCATATGTTCTACAGCCTCTCCTACAGAACCTCCTCGCTTGGCCTACAAATAACAAAGAAAACAAATAATCAATCTGAACACCTGTCAATAAGCAAGGTATGGTAATTTGTCTGCTGTTATGTGGGTAAAGTCTTAAAATTTAAATTTCACAATTTCAAGGCCAAAACCTGTTTGATGATTTTATTTTTCTATTTTCTAATTCTAATCTTCAATAAAGATCAAATGAATTTACATGTCAGAGGAGATATCAACTCAATTTTATGTTTATTGGAAATTAGTGAAAATAAACCCCCCTCACAAAAATTTCTCCCTTAACAGTAGTTTTGTGTGAAAATATATTTCTCCTGATATTAAGATCACCTTCTTATTATTTGTACTCCAAAAATCTCAGTGTAATTTTTCTGTAAATTGTTGCTAGTCTTGTTTTTTTTTAACACGGCAAAGCTACTTTTGTTAAAACTCCCATCCTCCTTTACCCCCCCCCCCCCGCCCCCTATACATAATACTTACACTATAAACTTCACTCTGATTGCTTCTGTGCTGGTAGTATATAGTTATCATCATTTCTCCTATCTGACTCTGTAATAATATTATATAAAATATATACAATTTAACAACATGTACACTAAAAGCAAGAATGTCAAGAGTCACATGAACTAGTCATACAAAATTCTGCAAGAAATAAGTAAAGATATATCTATAAAACATACATATTACCACATCTTCTTATATCTATATATTAAACCATATCCTATTACCAGCTATCCTTACAGCCAATACAACAGGATCTGTGTTCCCAATTGTTACTCTAAAAGATTGAGTTTGTGATCATGTATAGCAGATTTTGTCAACCATTCCAATTGACATTGCAATACAAGAGATTTTGCAATTGTGTATATCGGATTTAAATCTGTGTAACCTGTTGCATCTGCAGTACCAATAGGGGGTAAAACTGTGTGATACCTGTTTTACAGAACCTTCACAGCGGTAAAAGAAAATAAATGTGGATAGTGTCCACATGTGGACACAGATGATGCCCCCGCTTGCATATCATATAGTTATAAAGGGACATAACTGAAGAACGGTAAAAGTGACGCTACCCAAATTTGAACTTGATCTGAGTTTTGTGATAATTAGCATTGTGTGCAAGTCTCATAACATTTGGTTGAGGATAACTTAAGTAGAGAACAGAAACTAAAAATTCAGCAATTTTTCTTTTGTAAACACGCATAACTCTAGATCGATTGTGTACAAGTTTTATAACATTTGGTTGAGACAAACTAAAGTTAGAGAACGGAAACAAAAAATTCAGCAATTTTTATGTTGATAAAGGGACATAACTCAAAAATGGTAAAAGTGACGCCACCAAATTCCGTACTTAATCTGTATTATGTAGTAATAAGCATTGTGTATAAGTTTCATAACATTTAGTTGAGGCAAACTAAAGTTAGAAAACGGAAACAAATAATGTGTACTTGATCTTAGTATTGTGGTAATGAATATTGTGTATAGGTTTCATAATGTTTGGTTGGGGCATACTTAAGTTACAGAATGGAAACTAAAAATTTTGCAATCGTTCAATTTATAAAGGGGCATAACTCAATAATGGTTAAAGTGACACAACCCAAATTCAACTTGATCTGTGTTTTATCAGTGGAAGTCAAAATTAAACATTGCATTGTATAAAGCATTGATTGTAGTTGATTCAACTATAATCATGGACAAAGGAAGATAACTCCAATTTTAAAAATTACTTGATATTTAGAAGAAAATAAAAATTTTGCAATTTTTCCATTTATAAAGGGGCATAACTCTAGAACGGTTAAAGTGACGCCACCAAAATTCAAACTTGATCTGTGTTTTGTGGTAATAAGCATTGTGTATAAGTTTCATTATATTTGGTTGAGGCAAACTAAAGTTAGAGAACGGAAACTAAAAATTTTGCAATTTTTCCATTTATAAAAAGGCATAACTCTAGAATGGTTAAAGTGATGCCACCAAAATTCAAACTTGATCTGTGTTTTGTGGTAATAAGCATTGTGTATAAGTTTCATAACATTTGGTTGAGGCAAACTTAAGTTAGAGAACTGAAACTAAAAATTTAGCAATTTTTCCATTTATAAAGGGGCATAACTCTAGAACGGTTAAAGTGACGCCACCAAAATTCAAACTTGATCTGTGTTTTGTGGTAATAAGCATTGTGTATAAGATTCATAATATTTGTTTGAGGCAAACTAAAGTTAGAGACCAGAAACTAAAAATTTAGCAATTTTTCCATTTATAAAGGGGCATAACTCTAGAACGGTTAAAGTGACGCCACCAAATTTCAAACTTGATCTGTGTTTTGTGGTAATAAGCATTGTGTATAACATTTGGTTGAGGCAAACTTAAGTTAGAGAACGGAAACCAATTTTGGGACGTACGTACAGACGGATAAGGGTAAAACTTAACGCCCCCTCCGCTACGGCGGGGGCATAAAAACGACAAAACAATAGAACAGTACATATATATACACTGTATACACAACATTCAAATGTTTACACCTCATAAGTAACAATATAAAAAATAATCAAAAACAAGCATTCTGAAAGTATTGCATGGCAATACATAGCCCCCTACTGGGTAAAAATTCAGTGTACTGGAATAAAATAACTTAATCGGCAATTTGTAATATTTTCTATATTAAAAAAAACTCAGTCCAAATATCTCCTGGTGCAAATATTGAACACTAAATCTGTTTATACTAAAATATATGAAAACTTTTTCTTGTGAACAAATTTTCACTAAAGGAGTTGTATCAACCAGATTAATAGACAGATCAACAGAAAGATCATCTGGACGGAACAAAATTTGAACTTGATCTATAACTTGTCATGGTTAAACTATCTAACAAATATCAAATCAATATCTTCAAGCATGACGAAAAAAAGTGTTGAAAACTGATTATTTGCATGAATTTTCCAAGTCAGAGGACCATAACTCAGCAAAAAAAGTGTGGAAAATGATTTGCTAGACTGAAGGACGGACTGACAGACTGAAAGAGTGCAAACCTAAAGTCTCCTTTGACTTTGCCAGTAAGGGACTCAAAATTACTTCATAACCAAATGAAATGAAGATTTCTTACTCCTAATAATTACAGTGGGGAACAATCACATAAAGCAAAAACAATCAAATTAAAGAATAAAACAAGAAATGAGTTGGTTTCCTGTATTTTGAAGGTGACCAATGTTGAACTTCAGAGAGCAGATGGTAAGAATGAAAATTATGTATTCTAATTTTTAGGCTTGTTTAACCAGCCACATTCCAAAATGGCAAAAGTGAAAATTGTTGATATCAAACTTGATATCCATTTTGTCATCAGTTACAACATAGTAAAATTTTATAAGCATCGTTTGAAACGTTTACCAGTTATTTCATGAAAACTATTGTCAGCTGCCCGCTGTACTTCACCATTTTTATTTCAGAATATAAGGTAACAACACGCTGAAATGTCTCTCCTTCTTTACTTATGATTGAATTCATGTTGAAAGTCTTTTGTATGAAGGTTTTGATACAAGTAACACATAACTTAACATTTTGAATGATCTATCAGTCAAATGAACCCTGCAAGACAGACATGTTCACCTTACAATCATTCCATATACCAAATATAGTTAACCTTTTGCTTATAGTAACTGATAAATTGACATAACCACAAAACCTATCATGGAACAATGAGGCCATAAAAAAGAATTGGTTTGCCCTAACCCGACCGACCCATAAAAAAGCACCAGTCAGAATCTTTTTTTAATCAAAATTCGCGATTTATTTTTTTTGCAGAGTTTTGTCTTTTCCGTATCCGTCTTCAATTTGTTGCATAGAATAACCTGATCCAATCTGACCGGGCTTTATCACAGGGCAATTTGTGTTATGTATTAAAGCCTCCAATTGATACGGATGAAAAACAACATGTAACCGTCTAGTACAAATAAAGGTTGGATTAAAATCAAACCCCGTAGTTTCCAACAAATTCTATCGTTTTGAAAACGCAAAAACATGGAAAGAGGTGTTTGATAAAGTGTGTGATGACGATTTCATGCTACGGAGAACTGATGAAATTTGTGTGACTGTCTCTGACCGATCGGGACACTCGTTTGAGCCAGATTTTGAGGAACCAATCCAAGTTGTTCAGGAATTTGATTCGGCATTAAAATTTGATTAAAATGATATTATTCTGACAGAAGTTCTGTCATCAGTGTTTTGTTCAAGTGTTTTGTATTTAAATTTTGTATTCAAATAAACTTCTTTTTAGTATGAGCCTCCTTTAATTAGGAGACCCTCCAAATATATATGAAGTTTTTCCTTAACTTTAAATTTTAAAGAATAAAACAAAAATGTTTTTTCCAACATATGTACAGCGCATATAAATATAAAACAATAAAAGTATCATGCATGGCATATTTACAGGGACCTTTTTGATTAATTATTTAATTTCATTTTCATAGCTTTTAATATTTGTCCAGAGTTTCTTTACATTTCTTACAATTGTTATATGACAGACTCTGTGTGGGTATATATATGTCACTTATGATAATCACTTTTTTCATTTGTTTGTCATTTCCTCCATTTTGAGATATATGTATATATATATGTATGTGCAAATTCAGCAATATATGTCTTGCTATTTGTTGTCCATAATTTTCAATCTTTCCATATGCATTTGGAATAACATATTTCTGGTTTTGTTTCCAATATTTTCCTGGAATTTTTCACAGTTATCAAACAGCTCCTTATATTTTGAACAGTCTATAAGTAATTGTACTATCGCAGTTTTGTTCGTGAAGGTGCAGTTCCATTTTGTTGGTGTGATTTTATCAGTGATCTCTTTTCTTATTTCAGGGAAATATTTTCCTCTCGTTGTTCTGAGTATAAACTCGTTTAAAATGTGTGTCTGTATTCACAATGAAAACATTCAGAAAAAGTGTGAACATTGAAGTGGAATTCTGAAAAAAAACTGTTAATAGAAAAGATCTGTATACTACATATAGATCCTGGCATATATGTGTCTAACAATTTATACAAAACTCTATAATAGTCTATCATTTTAAAAGTTGTTAACAAGGTAAAATGATTTGTTCCCCTATTTTTCTCTAAAAGTAAAAAAAAAAAAGAATTTCCCTACCTACCTACCTACACATGAGACTGGTGGGTAGGGTTTGGGCAAACAGAAATATTTTTAAATCTGGCCTGAACCATGAAAAAATGAGGTTAAGGTCATATGAAACCTGCCAGACACACATGTACACCTTACAATCATTCCATACACCAAATATACTTGACCTAGAGCTTATAGTATTTGAGAAATAGACCAAACCACAAAAAACTAAATATTATCCAATGAACCATGAAAATGAGGTCAAGGTCGATGAAACCTGCCAGTTGGACATATATACCCAACAATCATTCCATACACCAAATATAGTTGACCTACTGCTTACTGTATCTGAGATATGGACTTGACCATGTAACTTCAACCTTGATCACTGATTCATGAAATGAGGTCGAGGTCAGGTGAACCCTACCTGACGGACATGTAGACCTAGCATGGAACCCATGTACCAAATATAGTTATCCTATTACTGATAATAAGAGAGTATTTCACTTTAAAAAAAAAACAGTAATATTTTTTCAAGCATTCACTAAATTATGAAAATGAGGTTAAGGATAATGGACATATGACAGACGGAAACTTTGTCACATAAGGTATCTGCATACAAGGTATGAAGCAATCAGGTCTTCTAGCCTCTGAAATATAAAGCTTTATACAAATAATTTACACCCTGTTGGTTGTAATCCCTTTGTCTCACATTCTATGACTTTCATCACAGGCCAGACAAAATCCAGGTAAAAATGATTTGTGATGGATAAATAGGGAAAAGTAAACATGATTGCTATGTACATTCTCCCAAAGACCAGGCCATTGGTTTTTCTCTTAAGAATGGTTCAACATTTTTTTACTGTAAGGCCTTATTGAGCATTCTAAACGAATGGGTTTTTTCTCTCTTTGAAGGTCATACAATGACTTGTAAATGTTTACATTCTTGATGCAGGTTATATCCAGAAAAGCTCTTACGACATTAATAAAGTGGTTTTTTTTTTATTCCTAAGTAATGTGTTAATACGTCTGCTTGTGGACTACTAGTTTAAGACAGTATCATCAGCTCATGGTGCTTAGGTACTGACATGGGGTATAAAAAACTTTCTTAAATTCTGTGTTAATAAATTAAGAAATTGTTTAATAGAAAGTAAGGTTCTTAAGTTAACCTTAGATGAATTTGGCTATTTATTTAGGTCCCTTTTAAAGTTACATATGTAGCTCCTTGTGTGTTCCAGTAATTGAACACCTTTTGTTTTTTCAGGGGTTAGAGCATTCCTGAAGATGCTTGATCCAGAAAATCTTTTCAGACTCACCGAATTTATGAAGTGTTATTAGGTCCTTTGGTCTTTAAGGGGGTACAGAACACCTAAGGGAGTTAACTCTTTAAAAATCAGCTGAATGTTTTAATCAAATACTATTAAAAAAAAAAAAAAAGCTTCTCTATGATCAAAATTAGTGTTTGTCAAACTGCTATATAGCCAATGAAATTATTCCTGTAAATTGTGTGGTTCAAATTTCTAGAAATTTTTATACTTTTGTCGACAGATCAAAGTTAATATTTTGTCAAAATTTTATGAAAATTAAACGAGCCAAATCTATTTTAGTCAAAGTGTTGGGTACCCCCTTAATGTATAGTTGTCTCCCTTGCAATCATACCACATCCCACTATTGTTATATAGAGGCAGTTAGGATATAATGAATGGCTGATTATATATATATATATACTATGTAAGCCATACAAGTAGCTTATCAATGTTAAAGCAAGTAAAACTACAAAGAATGTCTCAATTAAAAAAAAAAAATTGTGAACTTATTAACTGCTCCATTTCCAGTGCTCAAAACCAGTTCTCAATATTTAAACCAGAACTCATTGTTTAAATCAGAACTCAGTGTTCAAACCAGTACTCAATGTTTAAACCAATACCCATTGTTTAAACCAGAACTCAGTGTTCAAACCAGTACTCATTGCTTAAACCAGAACTCATTGTTCAAACCAGAACTCAGTGTTTATTAAAAACAATGTACAAAAACACAAGTTCAAAGTGCATCGTGAATTAAAAACGAAAATATTTCTAGCATTAACTGGTGTTGTCCATCAATCCATTTCTTCAAGTGAGTGCTCAAAACCAGTACTCAGTGTTTATTAGGAACATCAGACAGAAACACAATTTCATTTCCCTCGAGTGCATCGTGAATTAAAAACCAAAACAATTATAGCAGAAAGCCATTAAACTGCAAAGCATTGCCAAATCAAAGCATAACTCACAAATTCTACCGGCTGTTCAAATGACAATTGTTTGATCCTGAACAGAATACGTTTACGCTCTTCTTCTAGTTGTTGCGCAGCAGTCTTTTCCTTCTATAGAACAGAAAACAGATGTTTAAATATATTGTGTTGTGTACTTACAAGATGCACTGCTGAATTACGATGCTGTAATTCGGCCATTTTAATTTTTTGCTGGACCGCCTGCAGCATGCTCTCCGTCCTTTCAATTTTCTGTACCTCTTCCTGTCAACATAACGACACATCAACTTAAATATATTTGGTCTTATGGCAGTTAAACAAATATGTTAAAATGGTAAGGAAATTGGGAGTTGAAAAAAAAAAGAAGGATTTTTTTCGTGCTACGTTACAGGCAAACATCAATTTAGATATCAAGTAAAAAGTGCCAAAATATGCCTATTCATCCTACCCAAATTGATTGACAGAACTGTTATCTGACAGAGGCAGTGATATTGAGCAAAGTATACCCCATTTGTTATTAGACTCTGACTAAAAATTCCATGTTCTTAAAAAATGAAAAAGTATTGTCAACTCCTGTTCTGGAACATATTTTTATTATCCTTTCAAAACAAAGCCCATTTTTTTTTATAATCCACTAACCTCAAACAGAACACTATGATGAGTTATCAGATCTTCAATCACTCTCATTTCCAATGGTAAATTATTTTGATGTATCATCTAAAATACAAAAATAATAAATCTCTTAAATAAAATTGACAAATTTCACAATCAATTCATCACAAAGCATGTTACTCTCATCTTTAAACACTGTAAATAATCCAATCAAGAAGATCAATTCTACACACACTTAAATCACTTAAAGCAAATGAAATCGGCGAAAACCTTCTTAGATTTATCTGAAAATCATCAAATTTCTATAATTTCTAATATACAGATTTTTCTTAAAAAACTATATGTTGTTGATACATAAATTTCCGATTTAATGATATAAAATAATCATATGGTCAACGACATAATTTTTGTCTAAAAATCAAAATTAACGTTTTACGGCCAGCAACACGATGACGTTACAATTGTTTCGACATTTTGTGGTATTTTTTCACATAGAACACCACTTCGAATGATGTATACCGTAAAAACGAAGTCAGTGACCCTATCATTATTTCACATCATTAAAACAGAATCTTGTGCTTTCTATACAAATGTTCATCTATTTTGAAAGATTTCAATCAGTAATATTTCAGAAGATAAAAAAGATAAATAAATTATTTTTTCAATTTTCAGTTATAGTTCAACGAGCCAAAAGCTGTATGCAAAATTTTACCAAAATCTGTTACATAGTCCATTTACTGTAACTTGACCTTAAGATATAATGACATTTTTATACCTTACCTCAGCCCCACCTTTCATTAATGTTGAACCAAATGCCAAGGCAATATTCTTTATGTCCATCTTGTTCTCTGCACTGTAAGTGGACAAACTGAAATTAAACAAATAACATCAATAAAAAGTTCCACATTTACTACAGGCATGTATGTAGACTTTGCAAAACCACAATTTCAAATATCCATGAAAATACTATAATTTATATAGGTTCATGTCCGTAGATATGGGTATTTTAACATCTTGAAGTACACATGATGTGGTTCTCTATGGACAGTCCAGCTTCCTCCATCAATAAAATTGGCTGCCACTATGAAGCCAATACATGTAGTGCTAAAAGTGGTGTTTAACACCAAAAATCAATCAATAAGTAGTTAATCGATATAAAGACTAAATTAGGCTAGCTTACTATTATAACTAGCAAAAATTGGCCTTCAACAATGAACAAAACCCATACCACATAGTCAGCTTTTCATAAGTCCTGTTTTGATGAAAATGTATTAATTTTTCTTTGAATACTTACCAATGCAACCATTTTAAGATGGTTTAGGTTGTATCTGTTGAGATATTAAAGGAAGAATGGACTATTATTATTAAAGCCCCTAGGTCAACACTTCCATTAGTTGATGTATTTGTATCAATTTAGGAATCTTGTCGAGATGTCTCAAAGCTTATAGTGTAAATTCAGAAATTTTTGTGATGTTTTTATCATTGAAAAAGTTGCAAAAAGATGGTTTTTCAAAAAAAAACCTCTCATCTAAAATAATAATAGTATAATGTGTATTCAGCATTTCCTTAAATCGCAATAATCAATGAAATCACAATAATCACAGAAATCACAATAATCACTGAAATCACAATAATCAAACTCCCATGTTTGTTTATTGTTCAATAATGGTAAAAAAAATGCATGCAAAAATTTCTAAATTTAAAGTATTCATCCAAAATTGGGTGCTAATAATTAAATGTTGTTGAATTCATTTACAAGGCTTCTCAGGTCTTTTGGCAACCAAAAGTATGTCACATGATTAAATAATCACTTTTATGGAACCAAAAAGGAAATGTGGTATATAACTTTACAAATAAAAAAACTATATGTGTGAACTAATTTAATACTGTACATACATACCAGGCTAGATGTAGCATTAGCTTCTTCACTGTACATTTGTTGACCAGGGGTAATTGATTCAGTTGGAACTTATAGAAGGACAGTTTGGATTCAACACTCTCCATAGCTATAAAATAAGTAATATAAAGTATACACGCTGTGCAATCTATCAATCTTGATTCTACCATTGCAGATGATTAAGTATAAATAAAGTTGAATATGGGTGGAATTTTTATGTATGCAATGAACAATTTATTTCAAAGTGCTGTGACTGATAGCTTATTAATTAGCAATTACGTCTAATTTTTGTAGCTTAATTGACCAAAGAAAAGGAACATATTTGGCCCTGAATATGAAGTCCATTATTTCAAGATAAAAGGTATTTCATGTTTATGAATAGACATATAAGGAATGAAATATTATCATTTTTGCTAAGCTTTTCTTATAAAGCATTAACATTTACACCAGAAATAGGCCAAAAATAGAGAGTTTAGGTGAAAGTTGAATACGTTATCTGGATATTAACCATGTTAAGGTCTAGGAAACATAGAGCACTAAATCTATCAAGTCAGATATGGAACTTTTTACAACAAACATGAAGTCAAAAGATACTTTTCATTGAGGTCTGAGCCAAAGGTTTCCAGTCCCAAAACCAACGGAAATTAACTCATTTTCACTGAATTTTCATGAAAAATCAAAATTTGTACTATTCTTGACTTTAAAAGAAGTCTTATTCACAAACATCAAAGAGACCTATTTCCTATCTAGTCATTGTTTTAGTTATAATTCATTATGATGATGGTCAGTAAAACATTATTTGAAATATTAGCTAGAAAGAGCCTCCTCATGGGGTTTTTGGTTATGTGATTACTTGGCCGTTTTTATAGTAATTATTTGATTACCAGACCAAATATTTCATGATTATTTGATCATTTGATAATCTAGGACTGTATTTTTGATTTTTTTATTATCTTGTTTAAAAAAATAATTAATGATTATGTGATTATATTGGCAAAAAATTTGTGATTGTGATTACTTGGGACACCCCCATGAGGGGCCTCTAGAAACATGGGACATATTAGGGCCTTATCATCCTACTCCTCTACCTGAATTTCTTAGCCAAATGAAACTAGTACTATCCTCCTTAATTGGTTTAATAACAATCCTAAACTGGTACCTAGCCTCAGGGGTTAAAAAATTTTGTTACAGCTCACTAGCCCAGGGCTAATTGGTAGCAGGATTTTACTAGCCCTGTTGGAAGAACTGCTAGCCCATCAAAACTGACCTGCTAGCCCAAGTATGCCTTACAAATTCAGAGTTTGCTGTATAATACAATGAATTTTATAAACTCGTTGTACAGTAGACTTCGGCAAATCGGATACCCAAAAATTATGTCAGCAAAAAATATCCCATTACCCGATATATATATTCAATTAGTTGATAAATGTATCTTCATTGAATATTCTGCAATAATGAGTTGATCAAATCCCGAGTTGGTACAAGCCTTGACCACTGCTATACATGTATATATAAAAGGATTGGAGTGATTTTTATCAGATACATCATCACATTTGTGTAAAAGAATTATCAGCTGGTTATGCAATGCTCATATTTGTTTTCAATTTTTAAATCCTATATTTATTAAAATAAATCAAATGACCTGAAATATTCATGTGAATAAATATCAACCATCCATAGTTTGTGTCTTTTATATTTGTTTTATAAACGAAGTAATATCCATATTTACATTAATCACAGGTACTAATTGTGGGCTATAAATAGATTTCAAACTGAGTACAGTCTCTAAACTGAAATTGTATTTGTTATATATTTTATTTCTTTAAAAATCAAATTTATTTGAATATCAATGAAGATTATCATGATTGATAAAATATTATTGCATCAAGTTTAAGTTTTCTGAAGACTGTTAATGTTAAGGTCATGGTTCTCGAGGCTTCTTCACAGTATGTAAACAAAACAAAATGGCGTCCATAACATGTGGTCATGCACGTTACAAAATTATATCTGACAAAAGTCAGATTTCTCCTGTCAAAGAGGATTTACATGTATATTGCAATAAATTATTCAGAAGGAGGTACAATCAGTTTACATTATATTTCTCTGGTTGCATAAGCAATGTACAATACCCCCACCCTGTACTGACAAATCGATATTGAAAGAACGGGAATGGCGACCAATACATGATACGTACCGGTCCACCCAGAGTTATTTGTTCTATTTTTTAAAACATACAAAATCAGTTCAAATTCTTGGAATCCTGGATGACGTAGTTGAATCTGATTGGCTGAGATAGAATAGTGACGAGGGGATTTTCCACTTTCTAATTTGGAAACGCCAAGAATATTTTGGTACTAGTCCATCGGGCATATTGGGTTACAAGTTTTGATTGCCCAAGGCCTAAATGCTGTAGTCCCGGGCGTCGGGCTAGTGGATTTTTTAACCCCTGAGCCTACCTGCACATTTGATCCAGTCTTGGTAAGCTATCTTTGTAAACAATGGATCTTTCAGCTGTCGAAAGAATCTCTTTAAACAATTAGCAACCTCATTCACTGAGTGTAAATCCATTCGTAAACTTAAGCTATGTGCATCTGAAAAAATAAATATGCTAAATTAGGTACTGATCGCAGATCTTTTTAATATATTCATGACTTTTTTAAACTGAGGATAATCTAGGGCTTGACATATTGTATAGACACTTGTCTATTTTGGAAGAAATGATGTTGACCCCTAAAAGTCTTAAGGTTTTTTGAGTCATTGACATTTTCCTCTAATCTCTATTCATTTATATCAAAAATATATTATAAATTTCTCAGTTTATCAAGAACCGGAAAAATCGTTTACAGTTGTGCATCGGATTTCGAACTTTGATAATGTTTTTCTATGAATGAAAATTTTAATGAATTAGCTTGACAAAACTTGATCAAATAATGAATATAAACTGCATATTCTTATCTGCTAGAAACTAAAAATGAACCGTGAATCCATTATTTTACCTTGATAAGAATACCCACTGTTAACTCAGAAATCATTGCTAGCATTTATAATTGCGAATCACAGATTACTGGTAAAAATGTGAGATCTAATTAATGTAATTGTAAAAATTTTGTAAAGTAAAATCACTTCTGAAATTGTAAATGCGAGTTTTTATCATTGCGAAACTGATACAGGATACTACTTTTCTCATGAACAAAAACATTGCAATAATGTCTGAATTTACAATATATTTACCTGCTAAAAACCGTGACAACACATTCTGTATTTTAGAATCCTGAGCAGCTAGTCTATATACACCTTCATCTTTAAAACCTAAATATAAAAAGAATTGTACAGTAAACTGTCATTGTCAATCTGTACAGTAAACTGTCATTGTCAATCTGTACAGTAAACTGTCATTGTCAATGCATACAAGATATCAGGTGAATTTCTTTTAGTTTATAATTTTGTTTAAACTTTTAGAGTAGAAATTTAACACTAACTTTTGTAATTTAAAAACTTTTTTTTTCTGAGTACTTTAGTTGATGGTATCTTAGGCCAAAAAAAATATAGTCGTATTTTATGTCTCTCCACTTACCTCAAAACCAAAACATAATCATGAGCAATCTATTTATGCGACTTTTAATAGAAAAATAATTTGAATATAAATTGTTGATCTCTCCTTGTATGAATTCATCAACGACTTAAAGGTTGAAAATCGAAAAAAAAATAAATCGCTGCAAAATAAGATCTAGACTTGAAAAAAAAGTATCCCTTGACGATCCTCATCCTATTTTCACGATTTGCTCATTTTGTTTTGCTTTCCATCCAACTTACCATTATCCTCAATAAATTTAATACATTTATGGACAATAACAGGGACATTCTCTGGTGTTAATTGCTGATCCTCTATTGTTGGACCTCCTCCCTACAATGTAAAACAATCTGAGTTTAATAGAGAAAAAATTGTCTAAACCAGGTCCCTTTTATAACATAGGTGTATTTGAAAATCCTATATAATATGTTTATGTCGGTGATAGGATTAGAAGTTTCATACATGAACATTTCTAACTATGAATCAATGTCAATTCATATCAAGAAAACATTTACAATTCAACTCAAATCAGGCTTCAAATAACCGAATTTAACATTATTTTTTTCTATGGCTGCCCATTTGTGCATTCATTGTTCATCTGGATCATGCTTTCCAAATATCATAATTTCTATAACATCCCCAGATTTTGTACTTGTAGATTGAAGGTTTTTGGTTCTCTCCAGGCAATCGGCTTTTTCCACCAAAAAAACTGGCCATCACAATCAATTGTGCTGAAATTGACATTAAATACTTGAAGACTGTCCTGAAGGATCAGGAACTGCTGACCCTTCAATACATAGTACCACAGATCAACCCCTCCTTTTTTATGAGAGTTTTTTGCTCAAACCTTAGTCTCCCATTTTGTTAGGGTTCATGATGCTTAATTTTAGGTTTTTATTGACTGTTGTTTGTCTTTTCATGTTGTTTTCTATTTGCCAGTGTGTATTGTCTGTTTTTCTTCAACATACAAATCTGACCGACCCATTTTTTAAATTCAGTTAAAATTAAAATGTTAAGTATTTGAATTTATAAGCGAACAAACGTTTGAAATAATACATTCTATTTTAACTACACTAACAATTGGTATTAATCCAAGTCTCTCAAAGCATTACTGATAGACTGATGCATAGAATTTGTTTGCAACATTTTAGAAAATGTTAAGAATTAAAAACTAGTAATTCAAAGCAAACTAGAAAAACTAAAAATCTGTTGGTTGTCTTTCTATGTTGTGATGTTACACTATTGTTTCAGGTAGGGTGAAGGTTGGCGACTATTAAAATGTTTAAATCCGCTGCATTTGTTTGCACCTGTCCTAAGTCAAGAACCTGATGTTCAGTGGTTGTCGTTTGTTGATGTGGTTCATAGGTGTTTCTTGTTTTTTACATAGATTAGACTCTTGGTTTTCCTGTTTGAATTGTTTTCCACTAGTCATTTTTGGGGCCCTTTATAGCTTGCTGTTCGGTGTGAGCCAAGGCTCCGTGTTGAAGGCAGTACTTTGATCTATAATTGTTAACTTTTTATACCTTGTGACTTGGATGGAGAGTTGTCTCATTGGCACTCATACCACATCTTCTTATATCTATATAAGATTTAAACTCCTCCTTTATATCAATTCATGTGTCAATCAATTTTCCGAGAGTGCACATTTCTACAAAAATCGTTACAAGAGCTCATGGAAATTTGTTAGCCATTGAAATAAAAATACTTATTACTCAGATCAGGTAACCTAAGTAACAAAGATAACTTTAATTTTAACAGCTAACAATTTTTCAAACAGCTTTTGTAACATTTACAAATAAACAAATTGTAAAATAAAAAGAGGCAAAATGTTAAAATCATGTAAATTCATTATGAAGATGAAAATGTAGAGAGCAAAATGTGGGAATAGAATGAACTACAAATAGAGCAGGACTGAGTGTTGACAGAATATGCACATCCTGTTTTGCTTTCATCATCAGCCTATAAAACAACTGACTCAAATGTCATGATCTAACACATGAATCATTCATGCTGTAAAGGTCACCATGCAAAAAAAAAGATAATGATGCAATTATCATATACAAATCTTAGTAGTGTAAATTAGCAAAAATATAGATAGAAAAAAAAAATATTTTCATTCTAAAAAAATGACAAAACAATTGAATACCTTTACCCATAATTTATGTTAATTTCATTCTAAGAAAATAACAAAGAAATTTTATAACTTACCCTTCTTAATTTATAAATCTGATTAGAAATTAGCCATTACCATATTTTCAAATATGCCTCTTATAAGTTTCATAAATTATATATTTTATTAGATCAATATTAATACATTATATGCCTATCTGGTCAAAGTACAGTTCAGAGGTCATAAGGACAAGCTACTAAACAATATCATTTGGTCATGTGGCTGAAATGTCTTTAACAAATGGTTTAATAACTACAATAAAAAAGGGGGTGTTACTCTTAAAAGAAATTATGGGATGAAAAGAATTCTCAATAAAAACAAGTAATTAATCAGTTAAAAATTTGTGGTGTCAAAGCTGTTTGGACCAAACATTCTTTTATTTTTAAATGAAATCCACAATGTTAGGAAAGGTTCAATTACTGTTAAAATCTGCTATTCCTCCACATTTGTTCATGCAGAAATTCCTGTGATCTCATAAACAAATGGAAAGAAAATTATCAAAAATTTGTGTTGAGGTTCTAATTCGTTTTTTATCGGAAAACCTCAATGAAGTTTTAACCTACAAAAAATAACATTCCATTAAAAGCTAATGTTTCTAAAGTATATAAAAAAGCATCTAAAAACCAAATTCATATATACAACCATATTAATCCTGTACCAGAGTTCCTTATCCTTAATTCTAATGACTTTTTAATGGTAGACCTCAATTCATTTACTTGTGACAGTGTTGATGGATTAAGTATAAAATCTTCTTTTCTTCAGCAGAAAATCTTTATCAAAAATGTTTCTCCCCGATTAACAAAAAAAAATGGTTCCTCTTATCCCTATTTCATTCTCAATCTAATAAAAACGGATTTTCATCCCTTAATATGTTACAATTTAAGGCTTAACATATATGATCTAAGGATAGAATTTTAGCTTACTTTTTAAGCATTTCTTAGTTTATATTAACATATAAAACTTATTATACCTTCATACTGTTTCCAAATGCTTCATAAAGTCTTTCTGTATCTCGTTGTAAATCTGCTTGGAAGTACAGCGACCTAAAATGTAAAGTTGTCATCTCAAACTATAATGTAGATTTTGAATAAATTACAAAAATCATTCAAAGTATAGTATGATAAAATATTGTATGTGTATCCTTAAGTAAATGAAAGTCAGTTTACAAATGTTATACTTTTTATCTTTCTCTCATTTTTCCCAAATTCAACACTTTTCTCACGCGTGATTTTAAAAATTTGTTTTTGTACAACTTTGCTGTCATTCAAGTGACACTTGCTATGTAATTTGAATAATATTAATTATTAATATTGATAATGATGAGTCGAAGAGCCACTGGAATAGATAAATTTTGGAGCCTCCTGATATATGACAAGGTTGCTGATTGAATCATAAGTATCTAAAAATTATTCAAATGTCGATTTTTTTTCCCCAGATGCGATTAAAGCTGCAGTCGTTATAAATGCATCAGATAATTGTCATATCTATATATATAGCTATTATTCATCTCTCCATGAAATTGCGTAAGCATGATAGCTTTGAGCAAATATTTGTCAAAAAATATATGATAGGGTACGTTTTTTTTTGTTTAATATTCAAAATGTATGAAAAAGGTGGGGTACACAATGTCTCAGCAATTTACCCCCCGCCCCCTCCCCTTCAACGCCCCAAGTCAAAAACTTACCTTCCTGGAATATCTATGGTAAAACATTTGCCACTCTCTGCAGCATAGGGACATGGTTGACCTGCCACATGCTCAACATATTCTGAAATGAAGTGAAATTATATAAATTTCATTTTATTAAGAAAAAAAAACAAGAGATAACAGGAAAGCCTCTAATAAAATGAACCAATATAATTAAAACACAGATCCTGTGTCCATGCTTCACTTACAAGGATCTGACAACACTCCATTCTACTTTCTGTTCTGGTAATTATTACATCAGCCAATAAAACTTTGGCCTCAAATTTTTGTAAGGTGTGAGTATGATAACTGCAACACTAGAGGACACCAAAATGTTTTGAAAACAAAAAGTATAAAGGAATGTTGTCAGATCCTTGTTAGGGAAGACACAGAATATATATTTCAATCAGATTGAAAAATGAACATACAGGTATTATAGCAGTATTTTCTGCAATTTGTAACCTCTGTTAAAATAATTACTATTAAAAAGATATCCTATTGGTGTTTGAATATACTAACTTTATTCAATGAAATTGACTTTTGTTGTTCATACATGTAATTTTCAAGTCCACAAAAAAATCATGCTGTGATGTTTTTAACAATGAAAAAATCTAATCTGTAGCTTGGAAATTTAACAAGCAATTTATTGTGTTTTGTATTTTTGAACCATTAAACTTTTCAGTTGTACTACTTATGTAATCATTTCTCATTTGCTTTAGCCTCAACTTCACAAAATACCATGTAATTATATAAATCACTTTAATAAATAATTGAGTAAAATTCAACTGTCAAAAAATTCCCCTACTCAGTATCTGGAGCCCTTGTCTGTATTTCCCAAAAAATCTTACAACTAATATTGATTGTAACAATGAACAATTCAGCATACTTCCGACCAATTTTTGTCGTAATATTTTTGTGAAATACAGGCCTGTTTTAAAAGTAGAAAGATCTTCGATGAGCAAAAAAAAACCATAATTGTAAACTTACGAATATTAGAAACTTTTCTGAGATCTATTTCTAGTAACTTTTGTTCCTGTAAACAAAACATTTTGCATCAGTAAATATTTGTATATTTATCATATTCTCTTAACTTAGAACTAGCTAGATATGTATATAGATTTCACAATGAGGCATCAACCATATAAGATATCACCTTTATCCCTATAATTAAAATAATTTATTTTTAGTAAATATCTCCATAAAATTTAATCATAAGTAATTTATTTCCAATATTTCCAATATTTATTATTCTCGGAGAACTGATATATACTGTTTAGCAACATATATCTGAATAAAAAACTTAAAAATAAAAATTGTCAAACTTGATGATTTCAAATTCTAATAAATGCTTTTAATGAATAATAAAATGCTCCGCTGGGGCGCAGCTTGATACGACCGCAGAGGTCGAACCCTGAACAGTTGGGGCAAGTATGGACACAACATTCAAGCTTGATACAGCACTGAATTTGGATTGTAATTAAATATTTGACACAGCATAGGTTTCTGACACAGAATGAAAGTGGTCTAAGAACTTAAAAATTTTCAATTTACCTATTCATACATGTGATGGACTGTGAAACTCAGATCAGGAGATTGGGAAATTTTGGTCAGGAGATTAGGACTCAGATCAGGAGGTTTTTAATCGACATTAATTTTGTTGTAAATGTAACCGTGTGCTGTAAAAATGGTCTTTTAAAGTGTGTTTTCTTCAACTTTCCAACCAATTTATTATGTTTATAGTACCCTTGTACTTATAAAGTTTCTCCATCTTTATATTCTACATGTTCAATCTAACATTGTTTTTTTCCAGTATGTTCTTTAAATTTTTTACTTCATATTCTATAAAACAATCATTGCAACCAGAACATTTGTTTAGCTGTCTGCAAATAGTTCTTATTTTTTTTTTTTTCTCTTGCAAATAGTTTTTATTTGCAAACTCAGAAATTCATTCTATCTGTAAAGTTAGGGTCATAGTTATTATATAAATTTCAATTTAAGCCTTAAAAGGAAGTATAGAATCCTCAAATAATTTTCAAATTATTATTTTTTTATTTGTCCTAAGACATTTAAAATCATTTAATAACCATCCTTTATGATTATTTGATCAATTTATATTTTATTTATATTCTTTTAAAAATTTTCATTATTAAAAGGAAAGTAACTTAAAACAGGATAAATCAAGGGAAGTAACCCAATAAATACACAGTTTTTGTTACACAACGGCAGTTAGCCTGAGGTAAAAATCGTTGCTTACCAGTATGTTTGACACCCAAGCTGACAAGTGAAGCCATATAATTATGCATGTTAATTGATTTACAGGTAAAATATAACTTCAGGTAATGTCAGTTACACCAGATGCCTGAGATGTTATGTTGGGCAGAAATTTTTCATTCATGAAAAATTTCATACACAGGATTTTTTCAACGGGAGGGGAGGAGGAGACCCCTGAAAACGGGATTATTGTACTCCCGTCGGGAGGTTCACATGTATGCCTATTCAAACCATATCATTATTATTTGCTTTTATATATAAATCAGAAATAACCAATTTAAAATGGAAAATGTTAAAGAAAAAAAAGGAAAAAAAAAATCCCCCCCCCAATTTTTTGAACCCCCTTATGATTCATCGCCCCCAAACTCAATCCCAGCTTTCCCTTTGTGGTATGGTACCTTGCAGTACAATTTCAGAGAGATTCATACACTTGAACACAAGTTATTGTCTGGAAACTAGAAAAATGCTTGTTTTTTGGCCCCTTTTTGGCCCCAAATTCCTAAAAGTTTAGGGCAATTACCCCCAAACTCAATTCCAGCTTTCCCTTTGTGATATGGAACCTTGCAGTACAATTTCATAAAGATCCATACACTTACACACAAGTTATTGTCCTGAAACTAGAAAAATGCATGTTTTTTTTGCCCTTTTATGGCCCCTAATTACTAAAATTTTGAGGGAAAACCCCCAAAATCAATCCCAGCCTTCCCTTTGTGATATGGAACCTTGTAGTACAATTTCATAAAGATCCATAAACTTACAAACAAGTTATTGTCATGAAACTAGAAAAATGCTTGTTTTTTGCCCCTTTTTGGCCCCTAATTCCTAATATTTGGAGGAAATTACCCCAAAAATCAATCCCAGTATTTCCTTTGTGATATGGAACCTTGTAGTACAATTTCATAAAGATCCATACACTTACAAACAAGTTATTGTCATGAAACTAGAAAAATGCTTGTTTTTTGCCCCTTTTTGGCCCCTAATTCCTAAAATTTGGAGACAATTACCCCCAAAATCAATCCCAGCATTCCCTTTGTGATATGGAACCTTGTGGTACAATGTCAGAGAGATCCATACACTTACACACAAGTTATGTCTGGATGTTACAAAAATGCTTATTTTTGGCCCCTTTTGGCCCCTAATTCCTTAACTGTTAGTACCATAACCCCCAAAATCAATCCCCACCTTCCTTTTGTGGTATTGAACCTTATGGTAAAATTTCAATGAGATCCATTCACTTAAACTAAAGTTAGAGTGCGAAAACTAATGTGTATTCGGACGACGACGACGACGACGACGACGCCAACGTCATACCAATATACGACCACAAAAATTTTTTTGCGGCCGTATAAAAACTGTTTGTTATGGTTTATGTTTTTTGTAACAATAATTAATCTAATGCTATGTTTTGAAGTATTGTTTATTTTTCAAATATAATTTTTTTTAAATTGTTTCTAATGGCATATCAATCATGACTTTCAATAAAACTCCTTATTACCCAACCCACTGAAGAATACTGTTACATGTAACCACTCAAGGCACTTTCAATTAAAGGCAGCACATGCATAATTCATGTACATCAGTTGCAAAGAAAACAATTTGAGTTCTAATGATAATGAACTTACATCATCTAAATATCTCACAACCTTTCTATCTACAAGTATCCATGTTTTCTGCCATTCCTGAAATAATATAACAACAGATATTTTAAGAAATTCATTTTTACTTTAGGCTGTTTTGGATTTAAAAAAAAAAATAGACAAAGTGATGCCCTGGCACTCCATTCTGAAGTAACTGTATTATAATAAGTCAATGTAGGACTTTCTTTGAGATATTATTGTGTCTGGGAGACACAAATGATGCCCCCGCAGATGCAAAGGTTTTTTTAAAATACACAAAGTTGAGCATGGGAGCACATAGGTCTATGGTTCACTGTAGGAGCAGTTTTCTGGAAATGCTATGCATCTCTTATGCAAGTATATATATCTAAAAATGACAAAGTTCAACTATCTCCCAAGAGTAAATATTAATAAAAATCAAAACCCTGACCACATGCATACCTTCAATATATGTTCAAACAGCCAGCAAAGTGAAAACTTCCCAGCATTCCAACTGTAGGAGGAGTTATCTGGAATAGCTGTATACTCATAATGGGTTGGATGGAAGGACAAACGGAAGGACGGACAGACAGACAGACAGGGGTAAAACAATATGCCCCCTAACTTTCAGTTGCAGGGGCATAAAAAGCATTACAATTTATAGCTTGGCATAATGTATAGATTCTTGAATATCGTTTAAAACTGTGTTTTGACTACTAAGGAGTCTTTTTGGTTTTTTGTTGTTGTTGGGTTGCTGTCTCATTGGCACATACCCAATTTACCCTTTAGTCATATGATTCTCAAAAACTCCCATGCAAGTAAAAGCTGCTTCCTCGTTTAAAATGTTTAAATTGACAGTGAAAAAAAACATTGACCTGCATGTTTAAATTTCTTCAATTTTTTATCATTATGATGGATGGCAAAGTTATCAAAGTTTGAAAAAGGGAGGACAACTCGCTGTTTAATATATACTCAATGAGGCAAACTGAGCGTTTATGTAGAAATATTTTACCACTGTTTACTTACCGAAGCAACCCCTGCCTTCATGTAGAAATTCCCTGCCAATGAAAACTCCTTGTCATGTATTTCTTTAATAAAATGTATAGGACAAAACAACTGCAAAAAAAATAAAATTTTATCTATTCATGTATTTATATATGCAAATGTTTTATATATACATGCTCTATTCAATAACTTTTCAAAAGCAAAAAGAAAGATATACTATAAAATTGAGAATGGAAATGGGGAATGTGTCAGAGACAACAACCCGACCATAGAGCAGATAACAGCCGAAGGCCACTGAAAACCAACTTTTTTTTTGCAACTTTCATGAGTAGAAAAATAATGTGGATATAAATAGTCATGAATATGTAAAAGTTGGATCTTCCCTTATTCAATGAAAATCATGAAATTAAATTGCAGCAAAATGTGATAGAAAGGGCTTAAAAGCAAAATTAAGTATCAGCAAAAATAAGTTGAATAACAGTAAACAAAGATATTGTGGGCATAAAACAGGCACAAATAAAAATATGTTGATAAATAGAGGATCATCATTACTTGTCCATCATACAATTTGTGCTGACAGATTTTTTTTCTGCAATACACTACAATACACTCACATTTTTTGCATTAAAAAAAACATCGAAATAATTTCTGAATTTACAATACCCATAAGGACCAAATGTAAAATGACTTCCCCTAAAAGCTGGACGTACTGATTAGCACAGAAGTAAAGAGTCTCTGCAGGTATCTGTCAAAAACAGTTTCATCAAGTTCATTTGATCTAAAAAAAAAAAAAAAAAGAAAAAAAAAGCTTTTCCATTAAAGGAAGAGCTGGCTGTACTTTATCTTCCCATGCAAATGGGGGTCATGGTGGCCATGTGGTCTAAGTAGTTCCTTTACAGTGATCACTAGCCTGTTAATACTGAGCATGTTAGTTCAAACTGTACTGTGGCAAGGTGTGTTGACTATAATTGCCAGTTTTCCTGCACTCTATGGTTCTGTCAAGGTACTCAGGCTTCTTCTACTAATAAAAAAGGGCAGCCATGATAAAGCGTGCTGAAAATGATATTAAAACACCAACAATCAATCAATCCCATGAAAAAGGCAACAGTAAATGGGAATTTTTAAGTACCTTAGTAAGTGTTCTCATCCATGTCATCTTTTCCTCAGGTGTAGTGGCAGCAAACAGGTAAGTTCTGTTGTTAGTTTTTCTTGTACTCAACTCAAAGGCATTAGGGTATCTACAATTACAAAAAAATCATACATATTTAAAAACTACAACCAAATTTTGTTCTAGAAAAAAATTTTAAGGATAATTATTGTACTTCAATAAAACAAGAATGTGTCCATAGTACACGGATGCCCCACTCGCACTATCATTTTCTATGTTCAGTGGACCGTTAAATTGGGGTAAAAACTCTAATTTGGCATTAAAATTAGAAAGATTATGTCATAGGAAACATGTGTACTAAGTTTCAAGTTGATTGGACTTCAACTTCATCAAAAACTACCTTGACCAAAAACTTTAACCTGAAGCGGGACGGACGGACGGACGAACGAACGGATGCACAGACTGAAAAACATAATGCCCCTCTACTATCGTAAGTGGGGCATAAAAAATAAATCTCTGTGATGATATTCTTTACAACTTTTCAATGGTTAAGGCCAAATAAAAATATGTTTGTTTCTCTCACCAGACTGACTTATAAATCAGCCAGACTGAAACCTTTTCTTGTGTGGTGTCTCATGTTATTTTTTATTTTGTTCTATTTTTTAGAAAAAGAATTCAATAATATAATCATGATAATAATGCATAATAATTGTTCATAGTAGATTTAAAACATTAAGGATAAATGAGAATAATTCTTATCCTATTATTCCAATGTTGACTATGATTTGACGGATAACAATTTAGTTTTTGGGAGAAATACATGTTTTAGTGTTCGAACTAAGGACAGCATCATAACGCTGATGAACTTTCCAATACATTTGATTAACAATTCTGATGCTGCAATAACTAGAAGATTGCAGTACATTTACTTTATTTAAATGTAGACATCAATAGAATATATTATTATCACAAATAGCTATTTCTTTGGCTCAGCTAGTGTATGTGTTATTAGAAAATTAAATTTGTGACAGTAAAATCCAGAGTTTACTCCCTCAAATACTCAATCAATACAGCTGCCAGTCATTATTTTTAGCAATCAATGCACTACTTTTTCAATGCTAACTATAGTTTTTTAGCATTCTGAAATTTTTTTCAAAAACATTCACATTCACAACTCTTTATATTAGTATTATTGCATCCAACACTATCATATGTGTATTAATGGGATATAAATCACATGTTAGTAGAACTGACAGTGTAGAAATTTAATTTTCACACAATTACCATAATTAGTAAATTAGTACTTCATACCATTTTCATAAGTATTTCATGCAGTAACTCACAGTAAAAATTACTGTTGAAAGGATCTCATTTCATTCAATATAAAAATAAGAAGATGTGGTATAATTACCAATGAGACAACTCTCCACCAAATGACAGAAGTTAACAACTATAGGTCACCGTATCGTATGGCCTTCATGTCACATTTTTCCATAACATAATGAACAAGTTTCTATTATTGTAATTGACGAACAAATGCCCAGGTGATTACTCTGCAGATATTAAGTTGGGAGTCTCCTAACAATTTTTCCAAAAATCTAAATATACTCTTAACTGTTAGAAACTTTTCTCAATAAAATATTGAAAGAGGGAGAAATATACCTTATTTCATCCTTTTGACTTGGCTGGAGAGTTGTCTCATTGGCACTCATACCACATCTTCTTATATCTACTTATTGTTATATTGAGAATCTGGGGCGCTTGACCTGAGTATTTGCAACACATGAACTATTGACCTATTTTTTATGGCACCAACCATTTTCTCTTGTGACCCCAAAATTTTAAAGGCAATTCTGTAATGACCATTTATGTGTTACAAATAGCAGTAAGGCATACTGTGGATTAATTTATTTTTGGTGAATTGAGGAAAACATGTATTTTCGTTGATATTTGATTTCATTGATTTGTCTGTTTATACCTTAGCCTGTAGAAAATGTGTATTTTGTTGAACATTTAAATTTGTGGTGTACCTGACACGCGAAATCCACAAAAATTGGTGTCCTATAAATAATAATGATTCCACAGTATATGGAGATCCATTTTCTCTACAAAATTGACCCTAGACAGGTGTATTACTTAAACTAGTTACTTTTTAAAATTTCCTGTACATTTCTGTAGAATTACACAAAAATTAATTCTATACTAGAAACTTTTGTGGTATATTTGAAAGCATACCATGTAAAACACTAAATATTATAAGTTGTTAGTTTCTAGAAATTTTGCCATAAACAAATAAAATGCTCCGCTGGGCGCAGCTTGATAGGACCGCAGAGGTCGAACCCTGAACAGTTGGGGCAAGTATGGACACAACATTCAAGCTTGATACAGCACTGAATTTGGATTGTGATTAAATATTTGACACAGCATAGGTTTCTGACACAGAATGAATGTGGTCTAAGAACTTAAAGATTTTTAATATACCTATTCAAACCATATCATTATTATTTGCTTTTATATATAAATCAGAAATAACCAATTTAAAATGGAAAATTTTTAAGAAAAAAAAGGAAAAAAAGGAAAAAAAATCCCTCCCCCAGATTTTTTGAACCCCCTTATGATTCATCATCCCCAAACTCAATCCCAGCCTTCCCTTTGTGGTATGGTACCTTGCAGTACAAATTCAGAGAGATCCATACACTTGAACACAAGTTATTGTTTGGAAACTAGAAAAATGCTTGTTTGTAGGCCCCTTTTTGGCCCCAAATACCTAAACGTTTAGGGCAATAACCCCCAAACTCAAACCCAGCTTTCCCTTTGTGATATGGAACCTTGTAGTACAATTTCAGAAAGTTCCATACACTAACACACAAGTTATTGTCATGAAACTAGAAAAATGCTTGTTTTTTGCCCCTTTTTTGGCCCCCAATTCCTAAAATTTTAATGCACTTACCCCCAAAATCAATCCCAGCATTTCCTTTGTGATAAGGAACCTTGTGGTAAAATGTCAGAAAGATCCATACACTAACACACAAGTTATGTCTGGAAGTTACAAAAATGCTTATTTTTGGCCTCTTTTTGGCCCCTAATTCCTTAACTGTTGGTACCATAACCCCCAAAATCAATCCCAACCTTCCTTTTGTGGTATTGAACCTTGTGGTACAATTTCATAGAGATCCATTCACTTAAACTAAAGTTAGAGTGCGAAAACCAATGTGTCTTCGGACGACAATGACGACGACCACGTCATACAAATATACGTATAAAAATTACTGTAACATTTTCAGAAAAATGTTTCATGTACATTCCAAACTATTCTAGGATCTTTTTTAATGATATGCTTTTCTTACCATCTCTTAAAATCATTAAGTTTAAAGTGTTAAAGTAAAAAAAAATACATTGACATTGTCTTGAATATAAATTCTATTTGCTCAATTAAAGCTGTCATATAGTATATATTTGTATCTGCATCTAAGCCTAGCATAAATACAATTTTACAATATATGGTAATTATATGTTCCAGATACAATATCCTGTTAAATTATATATCTCTGAATGAACTATCTGTTAATAGAAATTAGCATTATCGAATAAATTGTGTTCCTATATTCTTCAAAATGAAAAGGTATCATTTTATGTAATTTTAAAACATTTAAGAATAATAGAATACAATCCTTAGATGTTGGATGCTTATATGAGTTCTCATTTCACAAAGTGTCCTATATTTTTGAATAAATAATAAATTTGAACCTCTAATTATATTTTAATCTTCATTGCAGGGGCACATCACAAATTTGAAAAATAAAAAAAAAAACATTTCTGCCAGAATAAAAAAAAAAAAAAAATTATCATTAATCCATAAAAAATTAGTTCTTGAATATTTTTATAATATCTGATATATAGCATTACAATAGACAATATACACTGTTAATAATTAAGATAAAAAAAAAATAACAATACATGAACACATGCTATACATACAGAGTAAATAATAAAGGAAGCAAAGGGAGATAACTAGTCAGAAAGGGAGATAACTAAACAAACCTCTTCATACTATCTGGGCGTATACTCTTCCTGACTGACAACTGGCGTACTCTATTAAGATTGAGTACTGACCTGAAGTTTGATACACATAGTCAAATATAAGCAGGTGCAAAGAATTATACAACAAGTCAAAATATACCATCGAATGAGATATTCATGCTGAAATTTTTTGTATAATTCTATAAATTGACCATCAAAAGTCAATTGATGAAGTGGATCAGAAGTTTTGAAAAAAAATATTATGAAAAGCCATTGCTATGGTTAATAAAATGAAAAAAAATTGAAAATTTTAGAAAATTGAACTATTTTATAATTTGAGGACCATATACTGGCTCTTACAGTACCTACTTATTTATATCCAAATATTCCTTTAAAAAAGGGGGGATTAAAAATGCTAGATATTAACCTAACCCAAATAATTCAGTCCCTCCACGTAATTGATCTCTTCTACTTGCGAGGGCCTGAATTCCTTACACCCTAAACTCTTCACGAATCGTGGATATTGAATGATGCCCTGTAGAGAGGCGACCAATCAGCAGTCAGCTCAATTTTATCGAGATAGGTAAATCCTGAGCTAATTCAAAATGATTGTTTGACGATTTTTCTTTGTCTATGCATTCAGGCGTTAAATGTTGTAATCTTAGATCAGGGGAATATACGACTGAATTATTCTGGTTAAATATTTACTCTTCTTTGCCAAAAAATCAATACTACTTCCATCAAAAGAAATTACTTGTTTAAAATTATTTATCTATAAATAATAAAATATTCGGTCAGAAAAATCTACTCCATACTGCGAGTACAAGATTTGTGCTCTAAACACGAAATCAAGTATTTTGATTGGTTAAAATTCTGGGTCTTAATATGATAATTCTACATGAAATATTCTATGACCGCAAGTGCAGTGACTCAGAAGATGAGATTTATGGAAAGGGCTAGAAGAACTGAAAACGAAGAATATATAATAACATCATCCAAAGTCTATAACCTGTATATTCAATAAAGAAAGATACCGTTATACATATCATTCCTCAACAGACCTGTCACTGGCTGGGAAGTCCTGTTTGAAGTCCATCTGTATTATTTTTTGGAACAATTTATCAAAATTGATTGTCTGTCGACTCTGCCTGGGCAAAGATCATAAAAAAAGGCATAAATCAACCATTTTTCTAGTTGGCAATAAACACCAATTGACCATTCTATCAGTCTATATACACCAATCATTTCTCAGGTTGCATAATTGTGGTTAACAATTGTTTCCTTATTCAGTTAAAATTTTAATAGCACATGCATAAAGCAAGCAAGTATCTTAGATTGTCAGCTTTGCTGCCTTATTTTTACTTATTAACTCCTAGTATGAATTGTAGGCACATATTGCCATAAGTATTTATAGTTTTAACAAACTTCTAAAAATAGACATCAATAAAATAGATTCTTAAATTTTCATAATGAGATCATAGTTTACAACAGCATCTGTAAAAGTACATAGTCACAGAAGCTTAAAGGGGTAAAAAGTCTGGTTCCTGCCCTTTCATGTAAGAACTGTTACCCAAATCATAAGGGATCATAGATTTATTCTTACGAGGAAGCTCCGAGCATGCTCGGAGGATGCTCGGAGCTTTTTCAGTAGGCTCTTCTCTGCAGTTTATGTGAAAATAATTATCATGATCCATTAAGATGTCAATCAAATCTACACCACTTCAATAATAAGGAAAGTAGAGCATTATAGAGGAAGCTCAATTAACACCTGTGTAAACATCTAATCTATTCAAATACATTTTGCCTGAAATTTTACAAAAGTATAGAATAGATTAGAAATTCTTCAACAGTGCTGTGTAATGCTTGGAAAGAAATCTCATGTCTCCACAAAAAGTGAAAGTTATTTAACAAAAAATATACAATTATTATATTTTTAAAATAATCATTTCTTTTTTTATAATAAAAAAAATTCTCAAATCTTATAATTAGATGATATGATTTAAATATAGTTTATATTATATAATATGCTACATATAAGTTATCAAGACACAAACAACAGTTAGGGGGCGATACTAACCAAGTTATTTTTTTTAGTTACTTAATATATATTAATAGGTATTTTTGTTTTTTTAAATTATTTGATATAAACTCAATTGTTATTTTAAATGTCAAAAGTGGACTAAATGTAGTTTTTAAGAATTTTTATATCATTTCATTAAGTAAAATTAAGTATTTATCCAACTTGAGATGAGTATAGAGAGAGATTACTTTAAAAATAATGACAAAAATATTACTTTTATAAATTATTTTATACATCTTCGAAAAACTAAGCCTACTTACAATTATTTAAGGAACATATGTAATTGTTTTTGATAAATATTTCAAATTATAAATAACTTCAAGTCTTAATTAAATCACAAGGTTCCATCCATTTATATTTGTTCATCTCTAAGATTTTAAAAGAAAATGTTATTTTAATAGCCCCAAGAGACCAATCTATGACCAAGAAGTGTGGCATCAGAAAGGCAATTAGTGTTTCAGGAGGATTTAAATAGTTTTATACTGCATGGGGAAAATAACCAGATGTGAAAATTTGTTTAAGCTTGTAAAACCTGTATGAATGGACACCTATAGAAATAATATTAACAGAAGTTACTTATTCATGATATATAAGTAATATTTGAAACAACCTTGTTTTCAATATAACTTGTATAGGTTATTTTGAAAATTACTAGTTTAAGTAATGCCCTTAACTAAACAATGGTATTTTTTTTTTATAAAATAGCAAAGTTAGTTTTTTATATAAAATATTTTTGCAATTTTAGAGGACATGGCTACTAAAGCTTGTAAACAGAGAAAAAAAAGGGGGGATAGAATTTAGTTGGTTAATTCTGGTGATGTCTTCTTTCTTATATGCACTGAAAAATTATGTTGTTTTATTACTATAGTACAGGACAAGAAAAAACTTTACTCATGTCAAGTATTTCTTTATTTAAAACATAGATAAATTCTGCACATATTTTTGGAAAAATACCAATTAAACAAAGACTGATAGGGGGAAACAATTTTATATTAGATTTTCATTCAAGTACAGGTCAGGATAAAACTTCACTTATATAATTATGCCAAGTATTTCTTTATTTAAAATAAAACCAAATCTGCACAATTATAAAAAAAAAAATGACAATTAAAGTGAGACGTACTAGAGGGAAAACAATGGTGGTATTACCTCCTCAACTTTTCTTAGAGTAGCCATAATTTTTTTTATAAAAAACTTACTTTGCTATTTTATAAAAAAAAAAAAATTATCATTGTTTTAATAGTTAGGGGCATTACTTAAACAAGTAATTTTCAAAATTACTTATACAAGTTATATTGAAAACAAGGTAGTTTCAAATATTACTTATATATCATGAATAAGTAACTTATGTTAATATTATTTCTATAGGTGTCCATTCATACAGTTTTTACAAGCTTTACCAAATTTTCACATCTGGTTATTTTCCCCATGCAGTATAAAACTATTTAAATCCTCCTGAAACACTAATTGCCTTTCTGATGCCACACTTCTTGGTCATAGATTGGTCTCTTGGGGCTATTAAAATAACATTTTCCTTTAAAATCTTAGAGATGAACAAATATGAATGGATGGAACTTTGTGATTTAATTAAGACTTGAAGTTATTTATAATTTGAAATATTTATCAAAAACAATTACATATGTTCCTTAAATAATTGTAAGTATGCTTAGTTTTTCGAAGATGTATAAAATAATTTATAAAAGTAATATTTTTGTCATTATTTTTAAAGTAATCTCTCTATACTCATCTCAAGTTGGATAAATACTTAATTTTACTTAATGAAATGATATAAAAATTCTTAAAAACTACATTTAGTCCACTTTTGACATTTAAAATAACTATTGAGTTTATATCAAATAATTTAAAAAAACAAAAATACCTATTAATATATATTAAGTAACTAAAAAAAATAACTTGGTTAGTATCGCCCCTGACTGTTGTTTGTGTCTTGATAACTTTTATGTAGCATATTATATAATATAAACTATATTTAAATCATATCATCTAATTATAAGATTTGAGAATTTTTTTTATTATAAAAAAAGAAATGATTAATAAATACAATAATTGAATATTTTTTGTTAAATGACTTTCACTTTTTTGTGGAGACTTGAGATTTCTTTCCAAGCATTACACAGTACTGTTTAAGAATTTCTTATCTTTTCTATAATTTGTAAAATGTCATGCAAAATGTATTTGAATAGATCAGTTGTTTACACAGGTGTTAATTGAGCTTCCTCTATAATGCTCAACTTTCCTTATTATAGAAGTGGTGTAGATTTGATTGACATCTTAATGGATCATGATAATTATTTTCACATAAACTGCAGAGAAGAGCCTCCTGAAAAAGCTCCGAGCATCCTCCGAGCATGCTCGGAGCTTCCTCGTAAGAATAAATCTATGATCCCTAACACCATTCACTATCAAAGACAGGCAAATTTTAAGATAAATAAAAAACTTTTCACTCAAAATATAAAAATAAGGAGATGAGGTATGATGTTCATTTTCAATTTTTCTCAACCTAAAAAGTGAAATTAAATATGTTTTTGTATAGAATGCACAGCAATCTTGTTCTAATGTTAAATCAAACATAAAAAGCACTCTAAATTAAAAAAATAAGCATTAAAATCAAAACACTATCATACGTGCACCAGTGAAAAATGTAACTTCACACCATTCACTGACAAACAAAAATAAATCTTCTATAACATGAACACTTACACGGAGTTGACAAACCAGGTTGGAAAAATCATACTGAATTGAAAAATAACAAATAAATATTTAAACCTATTGCCTTGGCGTTTCAAGATAATCTTAACAAAGCGATTTTAAAACTTTAATAAAGGCAACATCATTTCAGTTTTTATGAATGATGGGAGTTTTTAACGACCTTGACTGGCTATACAGCCCTCACACGGTCGGGGAGTTTCAGTTTTTTACTTTAGGGTACCAGTACTGGGGTTAGTTTAATTTTCTATTCATGGTTCACCTACACCCTAAAAAACTTCCAAAATTGGTAAACCACAAATAATAATGAATTCACAATATATGAATGACCAGTCACTTTAAAAGCGGTCAATTTCTCTGCGACTACCACTACAAAGGGGAGACGATCCATCAGTTGGATAGTCTAGTCTGTTCCTTTTTGTCTCGTGTAAATAAAATAATCATGAACTAAAAGAAGGTGTATTGGAAATTATTAAATTTATTATTACAAATTAAAGTTGGCAAGCAAAATTATAATCTACCAAATTAAAATAAGACAGTGTTACCCAAAGCTGCAAGATGATCTTAAATTAAGTCATTTCTCCATATATTTCCTTTCCAAGACAATTTTAATCCTACTGCAAGAATTTCTTTAAACTTATGGTCTAGCAAGGACAAAATTAAGCAAAACTATGGATTTCTACTTGGCAAGGTATTTGGGTAAGGGAGATAACTAAGTAAAATATTTGACTGATTTTTCTTATCAAGCTGTACTTACTTTTCCACATTAGTAACGGCCTGAACACACAACATACTTTCATTATCTATACTGTCTCTAGCTGTTGATGACTGTCAATTATAAAAAAATTGATAATATTGCAAATAACCATCAGGTTAATGGGCCACAAATAAGCTTAACAGCTCCTCATTCTATATATATGTGTCTATCCCATGTTGGAAGCCAATAATTCAGTGGATGTTGTTGGTTGCTGTCTTTCATATTTGTTTTTTTGGTTTATTGTTTTCAACATAAATCAGGCTGTTGGTTTTTTCATATAAATTATCTATGTTTTGGCTTGTCAGCTAACTATACAGGAATCTGATGTTCAGTAGTTGTCGTTTGTTGATGTGGTTCATAAGTGTTTCTCATTTCTTATATAGATTAGACGGTTGGTAATTTCACGTTTGAATGATTTTACACTAGTAATTATTGGGGCCCTTTATAGCTTGCTGTTCGGTGTGAGCCAAGGCTCCGTGTTGAAGACCATACTTTGACCTATAATGGTTTACTATTATAAATTTTGACTTGGATAGAGAGTTGTCTCATTGGCACTCATACCACATCTTCTTATATCTATGTCAATTTTTGTTGAAATTTAAGCACAAAAAAAACAATTCTCAAAATTTGCGATATATAAACAAAAACTACCTTTCTCATCACAATTTTTATCCAATTTTCACAAAACATAAAAAAGGACCATCTTTTTATAGGTATTAATACTGCGCATAAAAATTTAGAAAATCAATTGATCGTACAACAAAGGAGTGCTGATGGACAGATTTACAAATTGATTACTATAGAGTGCCCACAGACTAGTAGACAGGGTCTAAATAAAATCATATAATCCTACTTTCTAAAGATATCAGAAAATTCAAATGGTAGTGTGAAGTCACATGTTAACCCTGTAAATTTAATACACAATGTGTAAGAGAGTTATTGTTATTGACTTTGACAGAAATAAGACGACATTTGTTAAATATTCAAAGTTAGTAATATATAATAATCTTTGGAGCGGGCATGTCAATAACTGCTAGAAGTCCTTTGTTAATTTATGTTATCATTGTCATATTGATTAGTTTCTTCTGTTACCTACTCTAACATGGGACTCAGACTTCTTTTAAACTGAGTTGTACTGTGTGTATTGCTGTGTGTTTGTTTATTCTATATTGGCTAGAGGTATAGATCTCACAAAACATGTTTAACCCCACCACATTTTTGCACCTGTCCCAAGTCGGAGCCTCTGGCCTTTGTTAGTTGTGTATGCTTTTTTTTATTTTGGTTCATTTTTATGTTTTGGAGTTTAGTATGACATCCATTTTCACTGAACTAGTACACATTTTTGTTTAGGGACCAGCTGAAACCCACCTCCAGTAGCGGGATTTTCTTACTGTGGTGAAGACACATTGGTGGCCTTCGGCTGTTTTCTGCTCTTTGGTCGGGTTGTTTTCTCTTTGACACATTCCCCATTTCCATTCTCAATTTCATGTTTTTTTTTCAAGTAACAGAAAGCCAGTAGGATATTATGACTACACAGTGACCTAATATGATATAAACATGGTAAGTAAATTTAGTATGGGGATTCCAGCTTTGCTTTAACCCTATATAGAATTAACTGACTGTGCTTATATCATAATAGGCCACTGATTGACTGAGCAACATATAGTGTTTTATATCTAATATTAAGATGATTGCTAATATCAATGAAATACAGTAAAGATCACTTAACATCCTTTGATCTCAAAAGATTACATTCCTCGTAACTTACCTTTTCATTCACAAAGTATCGTAAACAACCATGTTCAATAACACAATATCTGTCCATAAAGGCTGTAAAGAAATGTTCGAATATTTTTAAACATTCAACTGTACATGTATACAAAGGTCCAAAAAATACCAGTTACTCTTATATAGGATTTGAAATTTTAATATTTTGAGTTCACTTTACAACAACCTCCATACTGTGACTTCAATGTGCTATTATTCAAGATTAAATTTTTTTTCATAGTTGAACAATAAGTTAACTGGGACTGTTGCTAACAAACAAATGTATTTATGTAAATTTATGTAAATTTTGTGATGAATTGGTCCAGTCTACATATCAATCGACTTGAGAAAAATGCATTGAATGATATATTATTTTGTTTTTTCAAGATTCATCAATTGTTAATAATGTTTACATGTTTTGTATGAGAAACATGGATTCAAGATATCCTGTTGTTAATATTGGTTACAAAAAGTCTGTAGTTAGAACATTTGGATGATTGAATACAAACCCCAGCATGTTCTACAATGGCTGCATGCATCAAATGCTTAATTTCTCAGTACTTACCATTTCTATTTCTGGGTCCTGTCTTTAACAAATGACCTTCCATAGTTATTTCTGCTCGTAACCTTAACGCCAAAGCCTACAATGAAAGTCATGACAAGACTTTAATTGGCTGTACAAGTTATTCTCATTTTACCATCACTATACTGTTGGTGTACATGTATTTGTTTCATGGATAATTATTTTTGTGAAAACATTGGCCATTTGTGGAGTTTTAAATTTGTGGTTTTAAGATTAACACATTTTAACTCAATGGATATATATTATGTACAATATAAAAATAAAGAGATGTGGTATGATTGCCAATTAGACAAATATCTACTAAATTTTAAATGAAGTGGATGTAAACAATTATAGGTCAGTATTCATGTGTCTATATTATATACTTTTCAAGTTGGAATTCATGTATCATGCCTGCTGTCTGTTGTACATGTTTAATTTTATTCATATGTCATGTCTTCTGTGCATATTTTATTCATGTGTCATGTCATCTGTGCATGTTTTATTCATGTGTCATGTCATCTGTGCATGTTTTATTTGTGTCATGTCATCTGTGCATGTTTTATTTGTGTCATGTCATCTGTGCATGTTTTATTCATGTGTCATGTCATCTGTGCATGTTTTATTCATGTGTCACATTTGTTGTACATGTTTTAATCATGTGTCATGTCAGCTGTCTACTATAAATATTTTTTATTCATGTGTCAAAACAAATCTATGTTGTTCCAAGTTCTTATTCGTGTATCATAACTCAGTTCTGCTAATGACAGTATCCATCTGATCTGGTATGCTGTACGAGTTCTTATTCATGTGTCATAAATGCACAAGGTTTTTATAATTTTTTTGAACAAGATTCACTTATTTAATTGTATGCAGATAAAAAAAAATTCCAACACAGCGCTAGTTGATCTTTGAATAAACTGCAGAATTCATCATCTAAATATTTACTAAATGTTCATAAGAAGAGACTATTATCAGCTTACAAACCTCATCAATATCAGCTGAAGCTCTGGATGTTCCTGGAAATGAAAATAAAGGGCTGAATTTGTGTACTATACAAACGGACACAATAACTGAATATGATTTGGTCAAAAATACCTAAAGCACTTATTTAGTTTCACACTATCTGGAAAACAATAACTTTTGAAAATAGTACAATCAACAAAAAAGCTTATATTGAATTTCAATGATTTATATTAAAAGCTGTTTAATTTACTTACTGTCACCTCCATTGTGATACAGAAATTCCTACAAGAAATAATAAAATATATTCAGGATGTATATAATGTCTTAATAGACTATATATTAAAGCTGAGAAAAAGAAAAGGATGTAGTGTAATCATTTCTTCCTGTTTTTTTTTCTGCTATAGAATTAAAATGTTTTCTTTAAAGCTGATTTTAGTAGACTAACAAATATGGGTGGTTTACCTTTTCGCTGTTTCAGAATCTAATGCATTCTGGGTATGATTTTCAAAAGTATACATCAAATTTGTGATTGGTTAAGAATGTCCTTTAAAAATGATGGAATTCAACCAATGAAATTATGCTATTTTCATTTTGAGGTACAAACAATGAATTTACCCTGATTCTGAAATGGCGAATTTTTTCAGAAACCAGTAATTCTCAATGTTTAGTTTTAAAAAAAATGCAAATAATGTTAGTTCAGCAACAAGGTATAAACCCAGAACCAATGTGTCCTCAAACAATACCTCTTTACACACATGAAACAGTTACTAAGGAAAAATTGAGGCTTGTACAAAAAGGTATTATCTAATCCCTGATCTTTCAAACAGGTCATTTTTTTCCATGAAACAAAACAACTTCAAATCTCTGACTTCTAGTGAACTTTGCTCATTGTTGAAGGCTGTTCATTGACGTATAATTGCTTGTCATTTGGACTCTGGTGGATAGTTGTCTCATTGGCCAACATACCATGTCACCTATTTTATAAGTTTATTTACATCCATAACTCACAGTCTGTAATCTTTGTCCTTCATCCTTTGCAAGGTCAAAAGCTGAAAAGAAATAGAAAAATATTATTTTTTATAAGAATTACTGTGAATTCATTATTATTCGTGGGAAACCAATTTTTGTGGATTTTGTGGGTAAAGGTCAACCAAGAATTTAAAAGTTAAGAATGTTTGCTCCTCTTGTTTTGGAATTTTTGCCAGATATTCAAAATCCTCTGGTTTTATCCATTGAGAGCAATCAAAAATTTTGCCCACTAACCCTTACATTTTTTTTCCATAATTTGATTACATATAGTTTAAATTGTCATCTTTGAAAATGTTATAAAATCCTTGTTATTTTTTCATCGTTCTTGAAAGAAAAAAGTTGCCAATGTTAAATGTATGAAAAACCTAGAGAGAATTATTTCCCGCCAAATTTTCAATGGCTTATATTTCGAAAACAAGCACACGGACCCTTCATTTTTTTCTGCTTTTTTAGTTATTTTATTTATATACATGTACTATCAATTTATAACAGTCTTTTAAAAAGCTTGTTATTTTGAAACAGAGTAGCAAACATCCTTAAACGAAGTACAAATTTTGTATAGGTTTAGAGGCAAAAACCAAGAAATTAAATATCCATGAAAATACAAATTTTCCTCAATCCATGAAAATAAATGAATCTACAGTAAGTTGAAATTCCTAATTTGAACACTGGAGACAATACCATTTTATCTAACTGTGTAGTTTTAATGTTTGGTACAAATCATAAAACATTCTTGCCTACTAGTGAAATGATTAGTGAAAATAAGTTATTGGTAGTCCACTTCATGCTGACATTACATTTCTGGTTGAACAATTAGCATGTTTCTTCTCATCTATAAGTGATTTTTGCTCAAAATATTTTTATAGTAATCTCCCTTTTTCTTTCTATTTAATCTCCTTTTTTCTTATCTGTGATTAATATTTAGTTTGCTGAATATTATACATAAACGAACTACTATCATCATGATGTTGTAGAAAAATAACCTTGAAATTAACCCATAATCTAACAAAACCTTGTTACTTACCGGTAAATAAAAAAAAAAAAATAAAAAAATTTGCATTTGGCCACAGACCATAATTAAATTCCTCTATTAGTTCTTTATAACGTTTTGTCTCATTAAAAAAAAATGCACCTACCGGTAGTCTTTTTGTTCAATCTTTTGTGTGTGTAATGTACAGTACTAGTTCAAAAATATATCCAACATTTAGAAAGATAGCACTTTTACATCTTACAAATTTAGCCAATACACATGCATACCCCTATGGATAAGTGTCGGGCCATTTCGGTCACAATTTTTTCCTATTTTTTTTTGTGGTTTATAAATATGACCTCTAACCTAATAAAAACAAGAATGTGTCCATAGTACATGGATGCCCCACTCGCACTATCATTTTCTATATTCAGTGGACCGTGAAATTGGGGTCAAAACTCTAATTTGGCATTAAAATTAGAAAGATCATATCATAGGGAAAATGTGTACAAAGTTTCAAGTTGATTGGACTTCAACTTCTTCAAAAACTACCTTGACCAAAAACTTTAACCTGAAGCGGGACAGACAGACGAACAGATGCACAGACCGAAAAACATAATGCCCCTAGGTGGGGCATAAAAAAGATAATATAAGTTATATGGTTCGCTACTGACCCCCTACGGATCCATAGAGGGTTAGTAAAATCCAGAGGGGAAGAGGCCGAAGGCACACGGGACTTTTCATGCAGCGTTTTGTAGAAAAAGAAATAATGAAAAACAACAAAATTAATAGATGACGTCACCATTAATAGTAGACGTGAAGTCATGAACCCCCTATGAAATTTACTAACCCCCTACGGATCCATAGGGGGTCACCATGTGACGGCTTTAAACCAATCACAACATCATAATTTACCTGTGGTGCGATAAAGCCTACTAAAGGGTATGCTTTTATCTTATTGTTAAAGGATATAAGGTGACCTGTTATTTTTGACATCTTAGAACTTTCCTAACTTGCAATCATACCACAACTCCTTATGTTTATATTTACCTGTTTTTCCTGTAGTACCGTCAGTGAATAAAATCTACAAAAAGGGAGAAACAATACTATCTTTAGTAATACAATCTTCAGTAAATACTATGTTGCACAAAATTACAGGAGCAATCACATCCATTTTATCAGTGTATATATAATCTAATGAAATCATTTCTATTCTAGAGAAAGAAAGCAATTACTGCAAATCGTTTGTCAGTTTCATAGCAAGATCACTGTTATAAATATTATATAATATTATAGCTATTTTGTGTATTTTTTCCTTTGATCTTTTTTTGTGATTATTTTTCATATCATGCTACTTGCTTGAAATAGAATATTATTGTCAGAAACTCAAGTGTGCATGTGCTGTTGTTAAGGTTAACATCAACGACGTCATAGGCAAAATAGCCATAAACAGATTATCAATGGTCTTTCAAACTCAACAATGTTTCTCAGCCTTTGATGAAATTGAAGATGAGAAACACTCTCTCATTTGAAAAACCATTGATAATCTATAACTATCCCACTAGCAGTGAATATTATATTCAAATATGACGTTCTTCAAATGCTTTGAAAACACAAATGTGGTAAAATATGAATATATTGTATGTCAGCTGATCTGCAACGTCATGATTTGTATTGGCTGTTCCCATCATACTCCCATGTCATATGCTTTTAATGAATAAGTTACCCGAGGTCAATTGGTGAAAATCATGTCATTGAACGATAATGTAAAGATATAAGCATTCCACAGAAATTCAAGAATTTGAAACTGAAAGTATTCAAAACCCTGAAACGTAAGCAAAAGATGATAAAAATTTGTTGAAAGCCAATTTTCTTTAATAAAAGTAAGATAATCATTTAACTCAGTCCAAACCTGTCTAAGTATGTTATTGTAAATCATTTAAGCATGTCACTTTTTCAGTTTTCTTTGCCATTTAAGTGACTATTAATAGTGTGATTAATTACAGAACAGCAACTACTGGGGGTCTTGAATTTATAATGAGTTTACCATGGATTTTCCCGTTCTTCTAATATTTGACACCTCACTATCGCTCTTGGTAAACAAATTACCATAAAGGACAAACCCATGGTAAAATCATTATAAATTCAAGCCCACATGAATTATTTCTTAATTCTAACTTTTTCTTATGTAGGACAGAGTATTTTACATTGCCATACAAAAATATGACATATATATAAAAAATGTGAAAAGACTTACATCGGCTCCAGAGAAAACAATTCTCATGGTCTGTAAAATATCCTCTGTTACAACAACCCGAAGTAATTCCTGAAACAAGTATTATTATTAAGTTATACAACAGTGTTATATCCTTAATAAATGTCATAAAGGATATCAGGCATATAAATTAGTATGCACGACATGCATTTCATCTACATAAGACTCATCAAGGGTGTTTGAATCAGAACATTTGGAAGGTAATACATTCAACAGTAATTCCTTATCCTATAATCATATTTTACAGAATGCAGGATTATTCTACCATTAAAAAGAATCTGATAAAAGGACACAACCTCAATAAGCATTAGAGTGAAAAATTCTGCAGAATTAAAAAAAATTATCATCTCATCGCCACTTATTCCTTATGAAAAGATTTTTCGATAAAAAATTTCCAAAAAGGACCATTCCAAAATTACCTTGATTTACAAGTAATATACAGTGATAATCAGTCAGAGCTCTGACATAAATAAGTCAGAATAAAATGACTTCCATAGGTCAGATATAATTTGATGTAAGTGTTGTCTCCCTTCTTGCACTCAACAGAATATGACTTGTACAGGTCAGTTTATGCCAGACTTTAATTTATCATAAAATGACTTCCACAGGTCAGATTTTGCACAAAATATTGTGACTTAATATCTTCATATTCTAATAAGATTTATGCCCCTTTTTAATGCATTTTGACTTCGAGAGGTCATTTTTGTTCTGATTTGAAGCAGTCATTACTACCACTTTGTTATCAATCTCCATAAAAATATGGTGATTACTAGTTTCGAATTAAAGAGTTTAAAAAGTGGGGCTCATCTGACATCATACCTTCTCCTTTCCAGAATCTAAACATAATATATTTATCTCATCACTTTCAATTATTTCAAAATACAAAGAAAAACCAGGTGAGAAAAAATGGATCATACAATTTTCTGAATATCAAAAGATTTACAAAATACAATATTGGATACATTACATGACAATACTTCAAATCTTCCAAGGAAAAACCAGACACTTATTCATGATAAGACTATGTTAATAAAAGATATATTCTCATCCACTTTAAGCTAAATGTATTAAGAGCAAAACATCTATTATTTTAATATTTCATTGAGGTAAATACTGTTGTGCAAACTGACTCAAACAAGTCACATTATGTTCTGACTTACTAAACGTATTACAACTTTTAAGTCTAGTATTGTCATATTGATTTAAAAATGTATAGGTAAGCCAGATAAAAGACTGAGGAAATTAGGTCCCCATAAGTCACAATAATGAGGACTATAAAAAAGTTTATTTGGTATATTCAATATTAAATGTATTTTGTTTTAAACAGGTCAAAACATGTTCTGACTTAAAAGAGTCAGTCCAAAACTAAAATAAATTTATTGAAATATTTAAGCCGGGCATTGCCATATGATATTAAATGAATGTATGGGAACGTCAGATAAAAGACGCAGGAAATATATGTTAAGATCCCCTAAAATAAATAACCATTTGACTTAATTGTTTCTAAAAATTTATCAAATAATAAACTCGAAAATGGCAGATTCAGAAGCAGTCTGAAAGCAAGGACTTTCTTGGATTAAAGGAAGTACACCTAGCTTTGATTGGAAATTTTGTTCTGTAAACTGACTTTAACAGGTCAAATCATGTTCTGACCTCAAAGAGTCAGTCAAAACTAAACTTATTACAACTTTTAAGTCTAGTATTGTCATATTTATTTAAAAATGTATGGGAGAGCCAGATAAAAAACAGAGGAAATAAGGTCCCCTAAAGTTACAATAATGAGGATTATATAAAAAAGTTTATTTGGTATATTCAATATTTAAATGTATTTTGTTTTAAACAGGTCAAATTATGTTCTGACTTCAAAGAGTCAGTCAAAAACTATACTTTAACTAATTATTGCAACTTCTAAGTCTGGCATTGTCATATGCATTTAAGAATGTATGGGAAAAATAGATAAAAGACACCCAATAATAAAGTCACAATAATGAGGACTATAAAAAAGTTTGTTTGGTATATGTAATATTCAAATGTATTTTGTTTACAAGTTTCATCAAATTATCTTAAAATTTTATTCTATTTCTGTATTTTCATGACTTTTTCTTTTCTGTTAAGTTAACACATGGAACTTTTGGTTGTAAAAAATATTATTTTAAAGACCATTTGACTGAATTGTTTCTAAAAAAACTTATCAATTAACATGATTAATTAACTAAACAGTAGCAGATTCAGATAAAGGGAAAAAAGGGGGGGCTTAGAGGAAGAAGACCTAGTTTTGATTGGAAATTTTGTTCTGTAAACTGACTTTAACAGGTCAAATCATGTTCTGACTTCAAAGAGTCAAACAAAACTAAACTTATTTCAACTTTTAAGTCTAGGATTTTCATATTGATTTTAAAATGTATGGGAAAGCCAGATAAAAGCCAGATGAAATAAGGTCCCCTTACGTCACAATAATGAGGACTATAAAAAAGTTTATTTGGTATATTCAATATCAAATGCATTTTGTTTTTAAAGATTTTCATCAAATTATCTTAAAATTTTATTTTATTTCTGTATTTTCATGACTTTTCTTTTCTGTTAAGTTTACACATAGAACTTGTGGTTGCCAAAAAAAATAAACTTTTAATAACCATTTGGCTGAATTGTTTCTAAAAAAACTTATCAATTAATTAACTCAACAGTAGCAGATTCATATTTAGGGGAGGGGGCTTAGAGGAAGAACACCTAGCTTTGATTGGAAATTTTGTTCTGTAAACTGACTTTAACAGGTCAAATCATGTTCTGCTTTCAAAGAGTCAGTCAAAACTAAACTTATTAATACAACTTTTAAGTCTAGTATTGTCGTATTGATTTAAAAATGTATGGGAAAGCCAGATAAAAGACAGAGGAAATAAGGTCCCCTAAAGTCACAATAATGAGGACTATAAACTAGAGGCTCTCAAGAGCCTGTGTCGCTCACCTGATTCTACTTTGGTTTTGGAAATCATGTAAAAATAGATTAAAATCATAACAGATACCCTAATAATGAGTGGGGCCAAATTTGGTTTAATATTGGTCCTGTAATTTAATAAAAAATCCTGGTGGCCATCTTGAACAGTAAATCGGCAACAAAGTAGCAACACTTAATCAGCACCTCATAAGAAACATTTATGCCATGTTTTGGTTTCATTCCATTCAGTGCACCTCTAGAAGAAGCATTTGTATGTATTTCCCATAGGGGCTTATGTTAAAGGAAGTCCCCCCATTGGCGGCCATCATGGATGAAGGATCAGCTTCAAAGTAACAAAACTTAGTCAGCACCTCATAAGGAACATTCATGCCATGTTTGTTTTCAATCCATTCAGTATGTGGTTCTCTAAAAGAAGTCATTTGGATGTATTGTCCATAGGGTCCTTTGTTAAACATTGCCCCCATCTGGCAGCCATCATGGATGAAGGATCAGCTTCAAAGTAACAACACTTGGTCAGCACCTCAAAAGGAACATGCATGCCATGTTTGGTTTCATTCCATTCAATGGTTCTCTAAAAGAAAACATTTGTACGTATTTCCCATAGGGTCCTATGTTAAACTAAGTCCCCCGCTGGCTGCCATCTTGGATGATGGATCAGCTTCAAAGTAACAACACTTGGTCAGCACCTCATAAGGAACATTCTTGCCATGTTTGGTTTCATTCCATTCAGTGGTTCTCTAAAAGAAGACGTTTGTATGTATTTCCCATAGGGTCCCATGTTAAACTAAGTCCTCCGCTGGCGGCCATCTTGGATTAGGGATCGGCTTCAAAGTAACAACACTTGGTCAGCACCTCATAAGGAACATTCATACCATGTTTGGTTTCATTCCATTCAGTGGTTCTCTAAAAGAAGACATTTGTATGTATTTCCCATAGGGTCCCATGTTAAACTAAGTCCCCCGCTGGCTGCCATCTTGGATTATGGATCGGCTTCAAAGTAACAACACTCGGTCAGCACCTCATAAGGAACATTCATACCATGTTTGGTTTCATTCCATTCAGTAGTTCCCTTAAAGAAGACATTTGTATGTATTTCCCATAGGGTCCCATGTTAAACTAAGTCCCCCGCTGGCGGCCATCTTGGATTATGGATCGGCTTCAAAGTAACAACACTTGGTCAGCACCTCATAAGGAACATTCATACCATGTTTGGTTTCATTCCATTCAGTGGTTCTCTAAAAGAAGACATTTGTATGTATTTCCCATAGGGTCCTATGTTAAACTAAGTCCCCAGCTGGCGGCCATCTTGGATGATGGATCCGCTACAAAGTAACAACACTTGGTCAGCACCTCATAAGGAACATTCATGCCATGTTTGATTTCATTCCATTCAGTGGTTCTCTAGAAGAAGTTCAAAATGTAAAAAGTTAACGCTGACGACGGACGACGCCGGACGACGGACGCCAAGTGATGAGAAAAGCTCACTTGGACCTTCGGGCCAGGTGAGCTAAAAAGTTTATTTGGTATATTCAATATTAAATGTATTTTGTTTTAAACAGGTCAAATCATGTTCTGACTTAAAACAGTCAGTCCAAAACTAAGTTTATTGAAATTTTAAAGTTGGACACTTCCATATGATATTAATGAATGTATGAGAACGTCAGATAAAAGACATAGGAAATATATGTAAGATCCCCTAAAATAAATAACCATTTGACTTAATTGTTTCTAAAAATTTATCAAATAATAAACTCAAAAATGGCAGATTCAGAAGCAGGGCTTAAAGGAAGTACAGCTAGCTTTAATTGGAAATTTTGTTCTGCAAACTGACTTGAACAGGTCAAATTATGTTCTGACAAATTGACTGAAACAGGTCAAATCATGTTCTGACTTAAAAATATCAGTCAAAAACTAAATTTATTGAAATTTTTAAGTCAGGCATTGCCATATGATATAAATGATATGTATGGAATTGTCAGATAAAATACACACGAAATACATGCAAGATCCTCTAAGATAAATAACCATTTGACTTAATTGTTTCTTAAAACTTATCAATTAATAAACTCAACAGTGGCAGATTCAGAAGGGGACTAAG